AAATTTAGCCAAGGGTCTTGAAGGATGTTTGCCAATATCTCATGGCAAATCTGTACCATAGCAGACAGCAGCAGGCAGGTTGGTCAGCTGGTTTCTGTGCTCTGCCTTCAGCATGGCAAGGCATGGCTGTGTAGATTGATACATGCCCTATATGTGAAGGCAGAGCTCGCTCTGTGAGTCTCTTTTGATGAGATACTGGAGTAGGGCTTGGGCTCCTAAATCACCTGTGTGCCTTTAAAGTTCTTACCACAGAAGAATCTCCAATCTTTTAACCTCTGTTATGAAACTCAAATCAGTTTCTTCCCTGCTTTTTAATGGTTCTTTTGCTTTTGCTGGTTATGATTCTAAGGGCTATTTGCTGAGTACTTCCAGGACCAGTTCATGTAGGCTGCTGCTTTCCCTGTTGTGCATTTTTCCTTATGCAGTAATTCAAATTCATCTGGCTTTACTTTTTAGTTTCCTCAGTGTTTGGTTAAATGCTGTTTCTTCTTGCTATCTTTTTGAAGAATAAATTATTTCTACATATTTGTAGAAATGAAAGAGTTTGTTGAAGACAGTCACGGGTTTTTAGGGCCAGTAGGTTTTCTGGCCTTGCTTCATGCATGACACAGACCAAAGAATTTTGTCCGGTGATTCTCACATTAATCTTAACAATTTGTGGATCGAAGTGCAGCTGTTGTGTATGAACACAACCCATCAGGGTAGAAAGAAGTTTTGTAATAAATGAATATAACAAGATCTATTCATTATAGAGCAGTCTTACTGTGCCATGGGAAAATTCTGACATGGTTGCATACTTTGATTTTTCTTGAAGTTATGCTGGGATTAGCTGAATGAATAGTGAGGTTGAAGCAACAAGATGGGAGGTTTTCTAACATGGAGGAGCACCCCTTTCATTAGAGGTGTGCCTTTGCAGTCAGTGCTGTTGCTGTTGAATACGTTCTCAGGGTCAAATCTGCTCTCACACTTTTATGGAGCTTACCAGGAAGTTCTCTTTTCCATTCAGATTTTTCATTGGATTGTGTAACCCTTCTGGAACAAGCAAGCTGTAGATAAAATAACTGCCTACTAGGATATTGTGGCAGGAGCCACGTAATTCTTTCCTTAGCCAAGTAGATATTCTGCATGCATTTCCATGCAAACTGTTGTAAATGCTAAAAATATCAGACAGCAAAAAGTTTCTTGGCTTCAGAAACTCCTTCATGCCAACAGCATGAATTTTACAAAAGTAAATGATTCTCTGTCAAACTTGTATATGTGGGTGATTGTGTATATGTACACGTATATGTATATTTACATGTATGTGTATACATAGGCTTTGACTAAGTAAAAATAATAGTAATAGCAACTATCTTGTACTAGTATTCAAACATCCTACTTAGAAGTGATTCATTTCCTGGCTGAAATGTACAAACAGAGAAACCTATTCCCTTTCAGAAGGCAAAACTTTGATTTCTATATATATTAAGAGATCATGTGGTTTGTTTATACATAATATACTACAATAAAAAGAAGGGAACACATAAGTGGCCACAACAAGATGTCTTACATAGGTATTTGAAACATCAGCTTCAGAAAGAATAATCAGAGCACCAATGTATCTTCCAAAACATTCATATATTCTTTGGTTTAGGAAAGCACAAAGCAAATTATTTGTGGGTTTTTTAGAAGCTTGGAAGAAACCTAATCTACTTGCCAATTCAATGGCTGCAAGTCACTGGATTGGACATAGGCGATAAAACATTCCCTTAAATATTTGTAGGGCTGTATTTTAATAGCATACTTGATAAGAAAAGACCTCCAAGGTTCACTCTTGTCATCAGTAGCTCCCTTCAACAAGTTACAGTGTTTTGAACCAGGAGAACTGGAGTTCTCAGACCCAGTTCTCTCTCAACCACTATGGCTTAATGCAGGCCAGATTGAATTGCAGTTCAGATCTCTGCATGAAAGGTGGAGAGCTCTTCATTGATATTTATTTTGATAAATTAAATAAACTTTTATTTTGAAACAGTGCTGGACTCACTTGGCATCACTGTCTAGCTACTCATCTTCATCAGACACTGTGTTCACAAGCACTTTTGAACAAAAGTAGTTTCAGCACAGTTGCAAGTGAGAACATTTGCATCAATCCCAGGGGCCCAACTACAGTGAAAATTGTCCTAAAAATAGGTGTGACCTTCTTGAATCAGCACTTTTCTGAAATTCCACTGAAACAGTATGGCTTTTCTGCCATTGTAAGAACTGCTAAAGTGACAATATGTTTTAATAATTACCTCTGGAAAAAAGCTGCCTTTGGATGCAATTTAGTCCTCAGTGCTAATTTATTGGCACAGACACTGATACATGTGTAGTACACTTGAATTATTGACATGTCAAAGCAGATATTTTGCATGCACATTTTGTGAATTTGAACGACTATGTTGGCATCAGAGCAACATAGAGAGAATTAAGCTTTTTTCCTCTCTTCTCCCTCTTTTCTTCCCCAGAAAATACTCTTAAGAAGGAGGGAGAATTTCATATAAACCTATCAATTTATGTCAGTTCATTTGTCAGTTTGGTTTTTTTCCCAGGTAAAAGAAAGCAGATCTGGCCCAATAGCATGTGCATGAAATCACAAAGTATGCATGCTGGGCCTTGTTCATTTTCCTGGAAGCTGTCTCCCACACAGATGTACATGGAGCAGTACACAAGCCTGAATGAGAATTAGAGGCTGATGGTGCAGAATCACCGATGGGACAAGTTTTTCAGGCTCTAAAGGAGAGTGGCAGTGTCTGCAGTACTGTGGTGCTTTCCTCACAGCACACACGTTGTTAGATAGAGGATTTTGTGATGATAGGGAGTAACAGAATGCAGCTATTCTTATGCTCCAGAGTCTCACTGTGAGCCAAGTGGTTTGGATTGTTAGCCTGCAGCCTGATACTGTAGATTAATACAGTGTAAGTGGAAGAATTCTTCCCATTAAACTGTTTTTCCCCATGTACATTTCAGAAAAGATTTGTACATTGGATTGTAGCAATTTCAAAGAGAAAATAATTTCAATCAATTTGTGCAGTAAGAAATTTCATTTTGCTATTTTGCTGTGTACTTACAAGGGCAAAATTCTTAACTCAGCAAACTGACATGTTGAAAAATTGCATAGAGATAAAGGAATTAGCCCCTTTAATGTGTATGTATTGCTTTTAATTATAACCTTTAGAGGGAAGCTGTTTTTCCAAGCCTGCTATTTACTTCTGCTGCTTTTTCCTCTTTCTGCATTCCAAAGGGCCCCAAATGACAACAAATAGAAAGAAACAGGTTCTACCCCAGAGAGCTAACAGTCAAGAGAAAATGTAAGAGGTGACTAGAAAGACAAATGGAGGAAATGCATAAACAAAGTGTCTGCAGGCAGATATATCTGCGTCAGGAATCATACAGAGCTATTGGCTTAACCAGTGCTAGATGGAAATACTTCTATTGGGGCTTGTATGTACCATCTTTTAGTATATATTCTCTTATAAGTTATAATAGACCTACAGTGTCTGCATTGTATTGCATTTATTCTTCCTATTTTTATCCTTCACCATCTATCTGAAACTTTGTTCAGTTGTCAGTCACAGCCTTACACTATTTTTTTTTCCTATTCCTGGCCTAACTTGGTCTCTCAGTTATTTTGTTAATAGAAATAGAGAATCAGCCAAAATTCCAATTTTTGTGTTGAAATAAAAATAGACTAACACAGAGAGTGTAATAAATCAGCACTCCTTATGGACTGTATTACCCTGCAACAGATCCCCCACTCCAAACCATTTATAGCAACTGAAATTTTATTTGAAAGCAAATATCTGATGAGGCAAATTAATTATTATGACACTTTTCTATTGGTTAAAAAATGAGGAATCCAACGTTTAAGACTTGCTAATGCTTTTTTTGGCATCAAGAAAGGAGACACAGGTATCTACTATTAAATAGTGCTGCAGAAGAGCAAGTTAGCACTTTGTTTGCCAAATTAAGTTTCAAAGACTATGTAGGTTATGAAATTTGACTTTCTGCCCATAAATCTTGAATGACTGACAGACCACTGTAAAATAGCTTTGTTCAAAAGGAATCTTTGGCAGGCAGCATCAAAGGTTTGAAACTCTGGAAGGGATGAAAAGAAAACCCCACTTTTGCACTGATTTCCCGTACAGATCAATGTCTCTGTGAAATTTGCCTGGGAATTATGAAGTATTTACTGTATTATGTGCTGGGTTTTTTCACTGTATCCAAAAGCCCCAGTGGTTCCTTTTATCTTAAAGATTTAGGGATATTTTTGTACATGAAATCTGAACAAATGAATGAATGCATCAGTGGAACACAGGGAAAAAAAATTGCTGGATTTAGACAGTTTTTTTCTTCCCTATTTTACCACAAGTTGGAGTATTGGTTTTACGACACATAAATTTATGGGTACATATTTTTATGGTAAAGCCCAATGACATGTTCTGAATGCTCCATCAAGCTCTTTCAGTTTCTTCACTTGATTCACAACTCTACAGGGTATGAATCAGTCCTGTAGTATAACTCTTAATCTCTTTTTAACCAGAATAATGTAGTGTGAGGGGTTTTTTTTATTTATGGTGTGTGTCATCCTGTCAACATCTAATTATGTAAACCAAAGAAGGGGAAAATAAAATATTTCTTGGAAAACTCTTGTCAGCCGTCCATCAGTGCAGGAGATGAAGCATCTTTATTACATATAAGCTTCAGAGGCAGAAAATTTTTTGTAACACACAGGTCCATAAGTCTATCCTCAAGCAAGATGTGGCTCTGCTAGGGCAAGAGCTGAAGAATAATTGGCTTTGCAGGGTAGTTTCTGCTTAGAAACACAGCATGCCTCCTCAGGTGGAGTGAGAGGCCTGAGGAGAAAAGCTTCCTCTACTTTCCCAGACTCTTCAAAGCTCTGATCCACCTGAAGGTACTTAAACTCTTGTTTGTCTTCCACAGGGTGAAGTGAAGAAGTGAAGCCTCACAGCTGAACTACTATGAGGTCAGAAGCCTTGCTGCTATATTTCACACTGCTACACTTTGCTGGGGCTGGTTTCCCAGAAGATTCTGAGCCTATCAGTATTTCGCATGGCAACTGTAAGTATAAGGGGCCAGAGGACCACATGCAGTACTGATCAGGGGAATTCAAATCAACACTACTTAAATACAGTTGCAGTGGATAAAGTTGTTTTTTCTTGATTTCTCCCATATCAGCCAATTTACATCCTCAGGTACTAACGTAGGAATATGACTTTTTCACATGGTCTTATTATTTGTTAATCTAATACAAATAATTGGACTTCTTAACGCTCAAATGGATTCTGTTTGAGCATTAGGCATTTTTTTCCTAAGACGGAACTGAAGAAACTAAAAACTAAATCAAGACAAAGAATCTTGTATGACAGAAGGTCCTTTCTTACCAGTAGAGATTGGCAAACTCTCCAAAATCTAGTGTAACACCAGCAGCTGCAAACTGAGATCTGCTGGCTAAACAGGTGGAGAGCTTTCTGTGTATCTTACAGTGGACATCAGGCTTGAATTATCTGGTTCTTTCACATTTGCCTCATCTCAATTGTGATAATGGCAATGAAAATTCTTCAAAGTCCCAAAGTTTCAGATGTTTATAAGGAAGCCTTTAGCATCTGGGCCCCTAAAAGTACGCCAGGGAGTAGCAAGTCAGCCAAGAGCAGGCTTGTGTTGAATTCTTTTTTTGTTCAGGAATTTGGTTTTTAAATTGTCCATGTTCACTGTGGTTTGCAAGGTCTTGGTACCCAAAAACTTGTCTGTCCTGTGTAACATTATTCTGAAAGACAAGACTCCAGGGCACACCTGATGTGCTGCAAGTGCTGATAGATTTCTGAGGTACAACAACAGGGAAGAACTGCTCTGAAGCAACCACAGGTGAAACATAGCTAGTGTGGCCATTTCAGCACCAACATTTTCACCCTCCAGAAGGGCAGTGCTAATCATTCCTAGAAAAATTTGCCATACTTGATGTTTTTAGAGAACTAGAACATGGGAGGATTTTTACGCTGCAGCATGGCATGCTGAAGTGGACATGAATGTCCTTAGTTTGTTCTAGATCCATGAGTTACAGAGGAAACACTACTGTGTAGAAAACAGCCTGACAATAAAACTGGGCATTTTGCATGTAGGACATGATCAGAAGGATTAACCTTCTGAATGTAAATCCTGCCTGGTGTCTTAATTTATTTCTTAAAGAGTTCTCAGCACCTGGTTTGGTGAGAAGTTCCTTTTTCTATCCAGTTTTATCACCAGACTTTGTGTCACATGACATTTTGAGGTCCTTTGCTGAAGCCGTGCTGTGAGCCAATACTTTGACCAAGCTTAACAGGCACAACGCTTTTAGAAGACAATAGCTGAAAATGCTAAAGCAGCAGATGAGTTTCTGAAGAAATAGACTCCCCCAAAGAGCTGCAGTTTCTGGGAAGGCATTTAATGGGGAAAAACCATAGCTAGATGCTAGTCAGCTCAGTATAACATTCACTTGCAGCAGGTCTGCCGTAATAGTGCTCATCAGAGGATTATCCTTCTCCTGTCTTCTGTCATTTTATTTACTTAATTAGCTCCTTGTTTCTGTACCTAGATGTCATGATTATATGATACACATGAATGTGAAGTGGCCCTTGATCAGAAGTGTTCGCTGTTGTTAGCTTGTACACCCATCCGAGGAGCAGTGGAACACCCTGTGTGTGCTGAGTTCTCACCCAAAAAAAAATGGGAATGGACAATAAATACTCTTGCTGACTCATAGAACTGGAGGGGGGGAAGCTGACTTGTTGATAGCAGAAGCTCAGCATGGGGATTCCAATTAGTATTGCTGCCCAGTTGCCAGAAGGATTGGAATATCAGATTGGTTGCCAAAATAATGTGCAGTGACTTTCACTTCATAAAGTTCAAGTGGTGATTTCTCACCATTTCTCAGAAAACCCTGCAGCCATTCTGTGACAGCAGTCAAGTCCTGTAGAAAACCCAGGGAACTGGCAGTTTGAACCAACAAGAGCCAAGCCTTTTGCTTTAGCCACTACCAGTCCAGTCATTGAGTTGATTGATTGGCCACTGTGGAACAGCTTCATCCTGATAGACATGCTTTAGCAGCCAGGAGCAAGCATTTAAGCTCTGCAAACAATGAAAGAAAAACTGCAAGAAAGTGCCATGTACCTGTGTGCCAAGAGCTCCAGAACAGCTTTATGCTTAAAACAATTCACAGTTTTTGTCTTCTACAAAGGTGGTGACTTTCTCCTTTGCAGTTGCAGACACTGTAACCTTGAAGAACTCTCCAGCTCTCTGTGCTCATGCCTTCCAGCCCCTGTCTGTGCTTCCAGGGCAGAACAGAAACCATGGGTTTTGGCTATAGCTGGGCCCCATGATGATTCATGTTAGCACCATTTCAGTTTGTTATTCTCTTCTGACCCTGTTGATTTTTCTCCTTTCCACAGACACAAGACAGTATCCGGTGTTTGTGGGTCACAAACCAGGGCGGAACACCACGCAGAGGCACCGGCTGGACATCCAGCTTGTCATGGTCATGAACAGGACACTCTACGTTGCTGCTAGGTCAGTAGCCTCCTGCTTCAGCACTCCTCTCTGCTTTAAGAGGAGCAAGGAGAACACAAGGAATATTCTGAGCTCTTCTCTGACAGACACATTATTTTTAGGATTGTCTTGCACTCAGAGAGAGCTTTGCAGCCTGTTAGTAAGACATATTAGAATCGTTGCTAGATGATCAACTAAAGTTTTGCAATGTGTTACACCGTGTTTTAGGGCTACATGCCTCTGCCTTCCTCTGAGACCTGCAAGAGGGAAGTTGCCAGAAATATAATTTAGTTCCATGGAGAAGCAATTCCACCCTCATTATTTTATTCCAGTTGTGCTCACCAATAATGACAAATTTTAGAGAATATTTCTTCTGTGCACAGGTGTATTTTTTGATAAGAATTATTAGAATGAAATTTTGCTGATTTAGGCATGTTTTTGGTATCTTAAGACAAAGAAAAAGAACTGAACATGCTCCCTCAAGCACTTAATTGAATTAAGTGTCTTGACTTTTTTTTGGAGAGCTATACCGTGCAGACATGAGCACGTTTTTTATAAAAGTTGCACATGAGCTGCCTATTTAGTTTGCCTAGCTCAGCTTGCACTGTCAGCCTCAGTGGGCCTACACTCATCAGACAGTTGCCAACCTTACAGAGATACAATATTAATACTTCACATCCCTACCTGTTGTTAGCAAAGAAGATTGACGATCTTAGAGTGGGAATTACACGAGAGATGCACAATGAGTGCAAGATGGGTCCAGATTAGCAAGGCTGGGTGGTCCAGATTTGCAAGGGTGGGTAGTCCAGTTTAGGAGCTCTTGGAGCCAGATGCTGTTTGGGACCTCCCTGCAAGTTGCCTCTCAAGTAGTACTTGTTTCCTTCCTGTTTTCTGGTCCTCCATTGCAAAAACACACACCTTTCTGCATGTGTCACATAAAACCAGGCTGTTGTTGCAGATGGGAGAAGTGGTGGGTGGGATGGCCAAGAGTGAAGGGGAACAGCTGCTGAACAGGCAGCCTCTCACCACCAGCCCTGTCTGCAAAGCCCTTGGCAGCCTCTGGGAGCTGCCTGCCTTTCTTCTCAAACAGCCACTCCCCATCTCCTGGGTGGTCGGATGTGTCCTGTGGGGAAAGCTGCCTGTCCATCTCTGTGCAGCACCACAAAATTGGTAATTGCATTACACCAGCACGGTCACTGAGTGACACTTTCAGAGTCATGTCCCTGGCTGCTGGAAGAACACACTTGTTCCATTACCCAGCCATAGCAGCTGCTCTGGCTAATTGCAGCTTCCCAGGCTCCTTGCATACCCCTTGCTGCATGGGGTCCAGGTGGCAGAACTCAGGGCTCTCACAGCAAGACCTTGCATCAAGTCCAGGCAGAGAGCACGTATCCTTCCACAGGAGCTGCTGTGATGGTGGTCACAGGGCACAAGGAGAGATCAGCCCCGTGGCAAGTGGCAAAGCCCTGTGCTTTGTCTGAGTTCTGAGATTGGTATTTTTGCTGTTTTTAGTGGGATATAGAGTGGGGCAGGACTGAGGGTTGAATAGGTTTGAAAGGTGGTGGCAGGATTTCCTCCTTTTCATGACTGAGCTCCCTTTGCTTTCCTCATTTGTTTTCCTTTAAATTAGGAAATTATTTGCAGTGAGGTGGTGGTAAATCCTCTTTGCAGATTTTGCTTTGCTGTTTTCATAGTTTGTTCCCAGACTGAGATTGACGCAGTTAGACTGTTTCAGTGCCCAAGTAACTGGCTTTAGAGCAGGAAAACCTGGAGAAAACTTTTGGGATATGAAACAGTTTTGAGATGTGTGCACAAATTATATGAAGAATGCTAATATTTGGGAGATAACATGTACTAGTATGTGAATAGGCATTCTTCCTCATTTGTATTAAACAACTTGCTACAATGAGAGTGCTTATATAGTCCTAGGATCTTGTGACCTATAAAAAGAATAAAGACCTGATCTGCTTTGTACTTGCACAGGCATGAAAAAAATCTTCTTACACTTTTTTTCCTTTGGTAACTCAAAAGCTCTTTGAATATTCTTCCCCCCCTCCATGTTACCGAATAAAGTCCTTCCTGGGCTGACAAGACTATGTGATACAAGTTGAAATTCAGAGATAATTTTTATCTTCAAGTAACAAACTTCAGAAAATGAGTCATCCTTCAGTATCTAGTGTGGATGAAAGTTTGTAATTCAAATACTGCATTTCCTTCAAAGGCAGTAGTAAATCTAGAGATTGGAAGCAAATTTGTACACAAGCAAATGTGTTTGCCAAAGAGTTTTGTAACAAGATTCATTGAAAACTGTAGCTAAATAAATCTTTGAACTATTATATGAGATATTGCTTTCATGCTTTTTTTATGCATTGAAATACAGCAATCCTAAGTTTATATTTTATCCAATTATCTGAAAAACAATCAAAACAAATGGTTAAATAGTGAGCATTTTTATTTTAGCACTGTTTTGTTTAGGTTGGGGAGTTTTTTTTGTTTGCTTGCTTTGGAAAAATCCTGTGTTGACTTTTGCGGACAGTTGCAGCCCACCAGAAAGGCTAACTCAGATTTGAGAACTGCTTACATTTTATTAATGATCAACTGGCATAGAACAAAATTTCTGTCAGTCCCACTGCTTATTTTGTCGTATGGGATACACAACTCCTGTATTAGCTATTACCAAATAAAGTTTTGTGTCACTTCACAAAGGCATTATTTCATGTTATCAGACAGAAATACACAGCCAACATAAATTAGAATAACTCAGTCAAAGGCCATTAAGCTTTACTCTCTGAACAGGCTTGCTAAGGACTGGCTCTGTCATCTTTTTTCTCGTGGGAAGGGTAGTCCCTCCTCATCTCTCTCTCACTGGCCCACACCCAGGCACACACATCCTTTTCTAAGTTTGCTGTGTCTCCTCCTCCCATTGTCTCATGCAGTGGCAGCTTTTGTTCACATTATCTGCCACTCCTCCTGTGTGTGTGTGTGAACCAAACAGGCATGGAGCAGGGTATGGGATGGCTCCCTCCTCCTTTGCAGTTACGTGTTTCCAAACCATGCTCCGAGTGCCAAGGGTCGTGCACAGCCAGTGGCATTATTTAAATTCCCTTCCTCAACAAGATTATGCCATGGCAACAGAACTCAGTTCTGCTGACTGGAGGTGGGAAAAACGGAAGCTCTAGGATTAAGTAAATTTGTGTTAGAATAACTTAATTAGCGGTAAACTGTACACATACCACAGCTAGTAGAAAGTAGGAGTTGGGCAGCAGTGGGAAAAGGAGAATGAGGAAAATCCCACGTTTTCTGTGATTAGGGAGCCCTCCCCCAAATTTGACAGCTCTTTTGCTGTCTACTGACACTGTCAGCAACTGTGCTTCATTTGTGGCTTGAGAAAAAGATATGTAATTTTCCTGATGCTAACCTTCTTTCCAACAATTTCATAACTTAGCATTGGAGTTTCATTTGAACTGTTCCTTGAATCAGATAGTAAGTCCTCTAAAGACTGTTTTATTGAGGTGGAACTAAACAACTCAGCTCTTTCTGAGTACCACTGCTGTATTTTCTAATTGTCTTGTTGAAAATGAAAAAATTGTAACCTCTGGAAAATGAGGCTGATGAATAAAATCAAGAGCTGTGCTGGAAGAAGGGTTTTAGAGGTCCACCCGCACCTCATTTGCAATTCAAGAGATTTTTATCCCCCACTTTTATATAGCAGGAGCGACAGCAATAAAGAGTAATGCACATAAAAAGGGAACCATGACGTAATCTATTTAGCTGATACTGTGCTAATAGGTCATTTTATTCCACAACCAACCCTGACCACTGCTCTGTCACTGAAGTCAGGCAAATAATAAATCGAAGTATTAAACCAATCTTGTAAGTAAATGACAGCTCTGGTTTTAGAGTCTGGAGGAGAAGAAACCCATCAGCTCCTCAATTTGGCATCTTACAAAGAAAACAGCCTCAAGCTCCATAGGAGAAAAATTTTCAAAGCTGGTTCCCTACCACAACACTGCGTCTTTTCTTCACCTGAGAGAAGTGTTGTTTATTTCTCATGTAGCAGTATTCTGTGTTTGCCTTAGTTAAAGGCAAGACTAGCACTGTTTCCCAAAACTCAATAAATATGAAGCTAACCTTGAGAACAGCGATTTCTAAAATGGAAAGAGCCTGTGTTCTGCATTCAGCAGACCCTCCAATGCTGTGGGTCAAACTTCAGCTGCACAGCTTTCTGCATCTTGAAAGTATTCAATTTTATTTCAAGGAAAAATGAGATCTCAGTCCCAATTTAATGTGCTGGTTACTACAACTTTGTGGATTGGTGGTTTTTTTCAACTTCTGGGTTCTATACAGACCTGTCCTTTTTCTCTGTTTACACAGAAGAGAATGTCTAAATATATCTCCTTACCTATTAGCTGTTTCTATTTCCTCCTCCTAAGAACAGATTGGCAGCTAATTGTAGAGGGGGACGGGTTCTCGGGGAAAATAGGAAAGTAATTGTAAGGAAAGAAGAGTGAACTTTTTTTCAGAGAAATATTTTACAGTTTAGTTTGGCCTGCAGCTTGTGAAGAAAAGAATAATTTCTGGGAATAGTTTTGTGCCTTTTTTCTACCATATTGTCAATCAAATTGTAACAGGGAAGGGAAGGGAAGGGAAGGGAAGGGAAGGGAAGGGAAGGGAAGGGAAGGGAAGGGAAGGGAAGGGAAGGGAAGGGAAGGGAAGGGAAGGGAAGGGAAGGGAAGGGAAGGGAAGGGAAGGGAAGGGAAGGGAAGGGAAGGACTTTTTAACCTTAAATGTCTCTATATGCCACAGTGACATCTAGCCCAGGAATCTGGCAAATGGTGCCTAAAAGCTATTGTGGCTGATTTCAGGAAACAGAAACACATCTGCATGCTACATTGTGGCATCCTGGTGTAGGACCGAAAAGCAGAAATCTCTCAAGTCTTATCTACTTTCCCAAATCTCATTTGTTCAAATAATTGCTTTTGGGAAAGAATCTTACTTTGAAGTTTTGTAGCACTTTCCTTTTTTTTCCTCTTAATGGGAAGACAAACAGTTTATATGTGAAAATGCTTTTCTGGGAGAAGCAGGAGATGGTGCCAGTAATGTCTTCTGGTAAGATCTCTGATTTTTTAAAAATGGATTATGGATTATCTTGTGATAGATAGCTCTTTTATAGAAAATGAACTGTCCAACTATTCCATTTGACGTTGTATTCTTTGCTTTTGTTCACAGGGATCATATTTATACTGTTGATATGGACACATCACATACAGAAGAAATTTATTTTAGCAAGGTAAGTAACCTTTATCATTGCCCAGAAACCAAGGACACTAGAACAAGCTTCAAATAAATAGGATGATAACATTGTTTTAAAGAACTTGCCAGCACTGCTGTAAAACTGTAATAAGCAAGTAAGATGGCATTGCTAATCATATTTGTGGAGAGCTAGAATAGCAATCATGTCCTCTGCGAATTTCTGATAAGTGGTTTAGCTGGGCTGATAAGCAATCTGTACTGAAATATGGTGAGGTCCCCGATGGAACATCTGTCAAACATCTATTCATTTATATGCAGCAGTTTTCTGTACTATCCCAATTAAGTCTACTGAAACTTCTGTAATAAGAAGCAAGTTACATATTTTCATTTGCACAAATTTTTTTTCACTTGTGCTAGAACTGACTAAATAAAATCTTACTATAACATCACTTTGTAGATGTATTCACATTATCTCTATGGGAAGTTACATTCAAACAAAGAAAAGCTTTGTCTGCATTACTGCATTGTACATTAACACGAACATACTGAAAATAATCTCCCTTCAGCTCCTTTGCATTTCATTCGTGTTTTGTAATATATGTTGAACACAGCCTTGGTCTGACAGAAGATCATAAAAATTTGGGCACTGGATGAATTCCACTGGAGGAAGCGACAGTGCTTCATTATAACTGTGAATGATGGTGAAAGTGAGCTTTTTAACTCATCAAAGAGTGAGGGCACAAGCTTACAATGGAAATGAACATTCATGGTTACTCTTTCAGCTTGGGCCCCTCCATGAATGCACAGTGCCTCAGTGTACTGATCAGGAACACTGTCAGAACTATCAAGGCAATAATGTCTAAGGTGGTGCCGTCTTAGGCCATGTGATTTTAAACAAAGCTTCATTATAATTAATAAGTCTTCCACATTTGACCATTTTTGAAACTCATCTCAAAAAACAAAAAAACTGGCTGGGATTTAGCTGTAAATCTTCTGGAGAAACAGTGTTAGCAGATAAAGTCAGCAGTGTCTTGGCAGGTGAAAAACTCTTGGAGCTTGTTAGCTGAATTGAAGTTGTAAGTACCTGAATTTTATTTTTTTCCAGATCTAAAATGTTGTCTTTGGGAATGTATATTTCATTTAGAATCCAGTGACGGTTCATAGTCCATAAATTATAATTCTGATTTGTAGAGCAATATTAGTTAAAAGAAGAGAACATCTACTACTTAGAAAAGTACACATTTTCTGAAGTTCACCTATTGTTGAATTCTGTTCGTTTAGGCTTTTAAGAAAGAGGGATGGATTTCTAGCCTCATAAATTGGAGGCAAAACAAAGTTAAATGAATGATCCACATCACTGAATTTCCATTGTTTCATTGTGGTGAATTAATAATGGAGAAAGAGTGCAGAAAACTTTCAATAAATGTATGTTCAAAAGCTAGTCTCCCCTATGGGACTTCTACTTCTGAAATCAAATGTGAAAAACCTCTGAGTTCTAATTGATTTCTTTCTTTATTCTTGCAGAAATTGACATGGAAATCTAGACAAGCTGATGTAGACACATGCAGAATGAAGGGAAAACATAAGGTACGCAATTTTCATTTCTTCTGCAACTGCCACTTCAGTTTAGTTGCATCACTATTATCTCAGGCTGCTGTCTGTGATGTGGAATGGATCGTGCCATTCACTTCTTACCAGTAATTGCTTTTTCCATCAACTTACTGAAGGCTTTAATTTGCAAAACCAGTTCACTTTGAAAGTGATAAAATATTAGGACAGAAGTCACAGCAATATCCCGAAATATTTAAGGCATGGAACAGGTCACAATGCTTAGTGTACCAGTTTTATTTACCATTGTTTCAAAAGCCAAGTGCTGCTGTCCATCCCCCTGTGGGAATTTGCTGAGAAGTTCAGGTAAAGTATCAGAAAAGAGGAATGTGGGGCTGTAGAAGGACTGTTTCTCACACCAGTTTCATCCTGGAACCTATGATTGGCATTAGTATCATAATTAGATGCAGATTCTTTGATTCTTTACATCTACTTCCCCTTCTAGTTAAAGAAGCTTTATGCCAGTATATTGTAGTAGTGATGTCACTAGTTGACTGTGGCACAGGTGACAAAATCAGATTTTTCACTCTTCAGGAAAGCAACAGTTTTCAAACAAAATTTACCTTTGTCAACATCAGCAAACTAGGAGCTACAATATGAATGCTTTGTCTTCAGCTCTTTGTAATTTTTAAGCCACTAGAATATAAATTAATTACAAATTGCTCATTGTTAGTTAAACATAGTCAAAATAAGGCCAGAGTATCACAGTGGGTACCAGCCAATTTAATTTTAAGCCTGTGAAATATCACTGCTTAAAAATGAAAACAGATACTCAAAATGCAGTAGTTGAAATAGTTTTTATTATTTTCCTTCAGGATGAATGTCATAATTTTATTAAAGTTCTCCTAAAAAGGAACGAGGATACACTGTTTATCTGTGGAACAAATGCATTCAACCCTTCTTGCAGGAACTACAAGGTATGTAATCTGTTTGCAGAATTTCACTTATGCCTTGTCTTTTGGTTGGATTTATTGTGACTATGTTGGCAGCTGTGTGAGATTATCCTTCACCTGTTCACCATTCAATTCTGAAACGTTTGTCCTGCCTTCTTTCAGTGCTACTGAGTTCAATGTTAATTAGATTTCTGAGAAAATCTCAGACTGAGTACCTAGCTCTTTGCAACTCCTGCACATCAAGAGTATTGCCACTTTGCATTGCCCCCCCATAGGTACAGAGTCCTTCAGATCCCTGTTTGGGGCTGTAGTCTCACCTCAGAAAGTTCCTCAGCTTGTCACTGACACTCACATCAAGTCATAGACTAATATTGGGGGTTACTGCTGAGGATCATGTTCTAAAATTTCTGTTCTACTGCTCTCAATCGCAAAACCAGTTCTGAGGAAGCCTGGGGACATAGCAAGAAAAACCTGAGTTTCTTGTGAGCCCCCCAGATAGGGATGCTGTGAAGATCCTATGGCATTTTGTGCTGTGGGAGTGATGAAACGGCTAATCTCTGCAAGGAGCAGTACAGCAGGACAGAGTATTCCTCACTTGCTGGGGATCTGCAAAGCCAAAACATTATCTGGAGCAGTGTAGAAACTCTGCTGGTTCCTGCATACTTGACATTAATGCCCTGAAGCCAATTTATTCCTTTGGCATAGTGTATGTCAGGAGTCTTCATTCCAGTAGGACCCATTTATTGAAGTATTTCCCATTTTCTTAGGCTTTCACCATTATATTCTGATATAACTCCCAACAGTGGATATCTCTGAAGTAGCTTTGAAATTAATTTATTTAGGCATTTGACATCCAGACTCTGCTTTTCTAGGCACTGTTATATCCACAGGTAATTTCTCATCTTTTTTTCTGGAAAAATAAAATTCAGTTTTACTAATGCTGCTCCTGACAACATTACAACTGCCATTTAGGTTTTGTGTTCAGAGTTATTGGAAAAAAGCAGAATAAAGATGTTAAGAGCCAGGAAAACTACTTCCCTAATGGTATTCACTGTGACTGGTGGTCTTCCTTGATTTTTGTGCAATCATGTTTGCCTCATTTAGCCACTATAATGGCTGCAGTTTAGAAAACACAGGAGAGAAGTGCAGGGTAGTTTTTTCTACCAGTCTGTGGAGGAATAACCAAATTTGAGTAAGAATACAAGCCTGTGTCATGGTAACTCTGAGGTACAGTTAGCTACTCTAACAGCTGTTCCTTTTATTCTTTCTTTCCTTGCCTGCTCCTAGTATGCAATGAAGCTTCTTGATCACTGGGCTGTATTTATTCTTCTACTACAGTTTGCAATTTTTAATTTTTAATCTCTGAATTCCAATAATGAGGCTAACAAATCTCAGCCAGTCTCCTTGTGTGGAAGTTGTCTTTTAGATACAATTTTAGATTTCTTTGACATCTTGGTGTGAGGCATATAAATGGCCTCCTCCCCCTTACTCCAGAGTTTTTATCCCCTGTGATGCAGGGCTGGATAGTGATCCCCCTGGCAGTCTTCAGAAGGCCTCTGCAACACCTGCCCTGGCTTTTCCTCCATATATTCCTTCATTATCCAGAGAGAGAACTAAATGTGTGCCAAAGAGAAAACAGGGCTGTCCCTCAAGTGTGCCAGTGAGGGTGAGCCCAGCCTGTGGAGCTTGATGCAGGAAAAGTTAATCAGGACTCTAACTCATTTCCTCTCACTATCATGTGAAATGCTTTTCAGCCTTTGAGTAAACACAACTGACTCCCCTCAGAGTGGACTTTGACAGAAAGGATACATGACAGAAAACAAATGATCACAAATCATCCATTGAAGGACTTGAAAGCTGTAACATAGAAATTAAAAGTTTATTTAAGTGAATGGTGCTGTGTGGGTTATTTGTCATGCTCTGTGAATCTTTACTGTGTGTGATCTATAGAGTATGAGATGGACAAGTTGCCTGAATATGCTACAAAGGTTCTTATTCTCAAAATACTGTAGTATAAGCATCTGAAAGGGGTAACAGGTGAACAATTCTCCCTTAGCTCACCAAACCTTCTTGAACTTCATGTAAACTCAATCTGTATATTTGTGTCATTATCAGTGCCCAGGGTGAATTTATTTCCCAGGAGTTACACATAAGCCTCAGAATTTACCATTCCTGCACAGATTAATTCTTGCCTGATGGTAAGAGGATTCTCTGTGACACGGACTCAACTGCTATAGTAAAACTTGAAGAGCATCTTTCTGAATATGCAAATCAAGGAAGAGAGCACCACTGTTGAGACTAGAGGAGAAGGACCTCTGGACTTGGGGGAGAAAAATGCACACAGAGATAATTGTCCTAGTATTGTTTCTTCTGAATGCAGTTTGCAGTCTTTTCTGTGTATAAGAGTGCTTCTGTTGGGTCATTGGTGAGGATAAATTTTGGAGCCTTGCCAGAACCACAGACCACATAGCCTGCAACAGTTCAAAACAAAACTTGTGTGCAGATAAAATATAGACTGAAGACTTCAGTAAAATGTGTCAAGGTGAGAATTATTAGCTCCAAAAGAATGCCTGACTTACTGGACATACTTTTTTCAGGCTTATTTTATTTAATGCCATGATTTTTTTTTGTCAAGTTTTTACTTCATAGTCAAGAGTAGAGTTAGAGTAAGGGCCTTCTCCTGTGCCCAGAAAAGATGAAACACTGTCATAAAGCATCATCCTGGGTCAGAAGTTTTGTTTCTTTTTTTCTCTATCTGAGGAGCTCCCTTTGATTTTTCAGATGGATACCTTGGACTATCTGGAAGAGGAATTCAGTGGAATGGCCAGGTGCCCCTATGACGCAAAGCATGCCAACGTTGCGTTGTTTGCAGGTAAAATGACAGCGATAAACTTTTTACTTTCTGTCCTGCAGCCCAGGCTTGGTGTAACACTGTGCCTCTTGCTTGAGCCCAGAATGCCTAAATCTAAATGGTGTCAAACAGAGTAAACACTGGCTAAAAAGAGGGGGCATAAGGAAATCCCTAGCAAAAAAAGCCTTCCCGTCTTTGAAATTAACTTCACTGTCATCAACATTGCATAAAGCCTCAGTTTCCTGGATCAATATTTCAGTGTTTCCTGTATTCTTGATAATATGGCCTGTGTGTGGCACCATTTTTGGCTGCATTCAGCTTCTGTGAACGTCAAAGGAAGTCAAGGCTTGTGTAAGCTTTAATTAGGATTAAGCAGGATATGCTCATTAACAACTCTAAGCCCAAGCTAACATTCATAATAAAAGGAAGCTATGGAAAATGCTGTGGCATGCCCTTTTCTAGATCTAGAAGGAAAGGGGAGGTGATTTTTTTTTTTTTTTAAGCTGAAAACATCTGTCTACGATCTTATCAGCTGCTGTAGACAAAAGGAGAGAAGTGTATTGGCTAGTGGTGATTTATGCTGCATGCAGCATAATAGTGTTAATTCTGATTTCTACTACGATAGTTAGAAAAAGGGAAATCTTATAAATGGGGTTAATTTTGGCTGTTGATTGTATGGTATTTTTTGATATGTCGTCAGAAATTCCTGATTAAATTATCTCTTTATTGAACTTCTCCTAGTGTGAACCCTGCTGATCTCTTCTCAGATCTGGCTGATAGATAGGTGGTGAAAATAATAAAAACATCCTCCATGATAATGTGAGTCTTCTTCAACAAGTATAATGCTATAAAACAGAGTCTGGGTGCTCACATGGAAATAACTAAGCTGTTCCTCTGAAGATTTAAGATTTAAGCCATTCTCAAACAAATCTATAGCCAAAGGGCTCTATTAAGCACTACCATGTTTGAGGTATCATCATCTGCCTCACAAAGGAGAGATTTTGTAACCTGTTTCAAATTTTTTTTTTTTTTTTTTTTACTTTTTATAGTGCAAATAAATGGTCCTTTTGTTTCAATAATAGTGGTGATGATAGTGGTAGAATGATTTCTTAATTACAGTCAGAGGCAGGAATATACAGTAGAAATTCTCTAACTGTAGCAAGTAATTAATAAAACATGGAAATAGAGAAACTCCTTCAAAGAAATATTTTTCCCATGTATCTCAGACTCCCTATCCTTCATGCAGCCTGAATGACCTTTCAGAAGGGTCTTTCTCAGTGTATTGGCCAAGAAAGAGTTTATGACCAGCCTGTTGGAAACATTCACTTTGAATGCAGCTGAAGTTCAGAAAGATGACTCCAAATTCGTCTCTGAAGAAATCCTTGAATTAATTGAAAATAAAGAGAATATTTATAGAAATTATCATACTCCTTCATGGTGATTCAGAATAAATTTGATACAGTTCAAATAAATATTTGTAGAATACGCCTCATAAATCTGCTAGCTTCAGAAAATCACTGCTATATGTGTCTTACATATTGATACCCATGCTAACTTTTCAGAGTGCAATGAAAAGCAGTTTCAGAACAGTTTAGGGCACAAATCCAAGTTATCTGAGTTTGTTGGATGCACTTACTTGAGTATGGCTCTTCTTGCAGCCTGTAGCTATTGCAGCTGATATGTGTGAATTGTAGTTGGTCACAGGAACTTGGCAGGAAAGAAAATAAGAGTGTGGTTGTATAAACATGAGTTCAGACATCCATATCTAAAAAATTGAGCTTTTTATTCTATTTTAAACTGGGGAGGGGGACACATGTAGTAATTATTTTTTTCTGTTTTGCTAAGAAAAAATGATCATTCTTAAATAGCCAAATAAGGACAAGAATTGCATGAGTCAGAACAAAGCATACAGTACTGCTAATAAAAAACAGTCTGAATTTTAAATCTGGAGCTGAAATTCATGGACTCACAGAGTTTCTAGGGTTGGAAGGGAGCTCTGGAAATCATCCAGCCCAACCCACCCTGCCAAAGCAGGGTCATCTACAGCAAGTGACACAGGAATGTGTCCAAGTGGGGCTTGAATGCCTCCAGAGAGGGAGACTCAACAACCTCCAGGGGAAGGCTGTTATAGTGCTCTGCCACCCTCAATGTAAAGAAATTCTTTTCATGTTGAGGAAAGCTCTTGAGCTTTACTTTATGGCCATTGCTCCTCATCCTGTCACAGGACACCACTGAAAAGAGTCTAGCAACCTCCTCTTGGCATCCGCCTTTGAGACAGCTCTCAGTCTTACACTAAGTCTGAGAGCATAATGAGGAGAGCTTGACCAATAGAGACCTCTCTGCTTTGTCCTGGGAATGTCCTCAGTGCTGGTGCCTTCAAGGCACTAACATAATCTTTGTCAAACAAGATGTAGACAATTCTGGTTTTTATGCAGATGCAACAGAGAAATAATTTTGTGTGCTCATGCTGCACCACAGCATGCTGTGCTTCCAGCAGACAGCATGTTCCAAGTTCTATTTCACACATGAAAACAGTCCTGTACAGTTACCATGACCTGCAAACAAAGTAGACAACAAATAAAATTTTAAAATATTGCTGAAACTTGTGCTTTTATATCCTTATAGTTTTGTATGTTTTGGTTGTCCTTGGGGTGCCATTTTGTAGGCCCTTTCTTATCACTTGTCCTCCATTCTTTAAGAGAGAGGAATGCATAATTCATATGGGAAATGCCTAAAATGCATGGTAGAAGAGAAATATTGATGGGTAATCCTCTTCCATCTCTTTTCCTCCCTGTTTCAGCAGGGCTCCCAACATGTAAGTTAATTTTTTCTTAGTGATCTTTGGCAGAGCAGAAGTGCTCTCAAGGGGAGAAATTTTCATAAGCGTCAATTAGCTGACAGTCTCCAAGCCTTGTCTGGTTTGCACTCCCAGTTGGAACTAGCAGTTTTTGTTTTGCTGACATACCTAAGCAGAATTTCTGAGCGTTGAACTAGTGACATGTGACTGGATGGGGTAGTTCAGTATGACATATCTAAACTGAAGAAGAATTATTCCATAAGGTTATTTTCTTCCACAGCATCCCTCTGAAATTACCATTCTGCAGAGCAGTGAGTTGCCTGTTCGGTACTCAGTTCCATTTACCTGGCTGGATTTTTTTCCTTCCTTCAGTGTTCCTAAGGAGACTGTGATGGTTTTGTTTCCCCTTCTCATCTGACTGGTGAAAGAAGAAGCAATTGTACTATTTCTAATGTTCCTCCCCCCTGGTTTCTTCTTTCCTTCCTCCCCAGAGGGAAAGCTGTATTCTGCCACAGTGACCGACTTCCTCGCAATAGATGCGGTCATATACCGGAGCCTGGGAGACAGCCCAACCCTGCGGACAGTTAAACATGACTCCAAGTGGTTGAAAGGTAGATAAACAAACAAGGCAAAAAAAGCAGCATCTCTGATGAGAGTCTTGGATTTCTGACAGACCTCTTTGGCATTTCATTTCACCAATGCTTTCTGGCAGAAAGAAGGAAGCAGATTAAATCTCTTGCTTACTCTGATCTGTTTATTTCTTTCACTCCTGTCCTGACCCAAAGTTACTGGATTTGACAGAAGCTGTGAGCTGGGTAGATCAGAATATATATTCCAGTGAGCTTTCCAAGATGAAATCCAGTTTACATCTGTTGGATGGAAAAGCTGGAGCTTGCAGGGCTCTGTGTGCTTGTGCTGTGTTTGCAAATATTCCTGCCACAGCACTGTTAGGTAACAATCAAGGCTTTATGAAGTATAGAAGGTTTGTCCTGTAATGCTAAGATTCATTAATGAAACTAAAATTGTGCAAATATTGCACAAAGCCTTTCTGTTACAGTTCTTAAGGATTGTACTGCTGCCATTGAATTAGCCAATTTTTGTGCTGTAAATGCCCTCATTGTTAAGGATTGTGCTGTTTAACTTCATGTAGGTGTTGAGAATTGTTAGCATTTGGAGTGATTTTAATAGAGAGCAAAGCCATAGTTTCAAGTCTTTTTCTGCAGGCAGAAATGTTTTGCCAGGTGTCAACTTTAGCTGTCCCACTTTGCTTGCTGCCACAGACACATGTGGGCAGAAACAGTTACGTGGTTTGTTATTCCCTCAGCTCACAGACTGCATGCCATAAAGAGCGCTACTTGGACCCCTCAGGCATACCGTTATAAATGCCTGTTTACCTTTCCTCTTACTCCATGCAGGGCAGACATATTAGTGGCAGAGACTTAACTACCCTGCAGTGATGTTGTACAGACTTGTTCCCAGCTCTCCTGTCCCCAGACAGTGATTCTTCTGCAGCAGCGATTTGTTTGTTCTGAAAACTGATCAAGTTTGTCGAGCACAGACATTTCACCTCTGGATGTTATGTGTGAATGTGTTTGGCTTCTCTTTGCATTCTGTATCCTGTACGTGGTGCCTAAATCAGGTGTCTTGCATTGCTGTTTTTTTTCCTAGAGCCGTACTTTGTTCAGGCAGTTGACTATGGCAATTACATATACTTCTTCTTCCGGGAAATAGCAGTGGAGTACAACAGCATGGGAAAGGTAAGGGCAAAAACACTGCCTTGAATGACTTTGTCAGATTGAGGAGGAGGAAAATTTATGCTATTCTTGGACCAATGCTGTTACGAGTGACCTTGAAATGAGAACCATAAATCATTATGACAAGGTCAGCATTTTGAGAAGATTCCTATTGCTCAAGCCAAAAGGTTGGCTGGAGTAAAACATTGCACTGTCTTGAAAGGAAAATGTGTAGTTTCTTACAGTGATGGTGTATGCTAGAGTTTCTTTTCTGAAATTATTGAAAGCACAAGGCTAATCTAGTTAGTTCAACACAGTAGATAATTGTTAAAAACAGATTCCAAAGCAGGAAGAATTTTTTCTGTAAGAAATATGAATTAGGGTGCTGAGTAAACAAGGGTAGGAATTTTGTGCTCTGCCATTCTGCAAAGAATAATTAAACACTTTCTGCATTTTTGCTAATTTCACAATAGCTTTCTGACTAAGCAGTCAGAAAAGCTGACCAAGGTCACAAAGGTGGAGAGCAGGAATAAAAGCCCAGCAAGATTTGCATAGTTTTTAAGTGCTGAAAACACAAGAATCGGAGCAGCAGTGTGGGTTGCAAGGATGTGAATATGAAATGTGCTTTTGTTTGGGGAAATAGAAAGCTAAGCAGTCTGTATGGAAATGAATTTTATATGGGTTGAGAACAGATCTCCTGAAGGATTTATGGCTGTGTAGTAAATGCCACAGTCTTATCTTTCATAGCACACTGTTCCAGAGCTTAATTTTTCTCTGTTTCTTATTTGTCACAGATTATATAAAAGTGGTATTAAATTAAGCACCTTGCTGTGTTATTCCAAATGTTTTAAAAGCAGTATTCCAACGAAGACTTTAGGTCAAGCAAACATTTAATTTTCTCCATTATTTTTGTTCTATTCCTTCCAGGTAGTTTTCCCAAGGGTGGCCCAGGTTTGCAAAAATGACATGGGAGGATCTCAGAGAGTGCTGGAAAAACAGTGGACTTCCTTTCTCAAGGCTCGGCTGAACTGCTCAGTTCCTGGCGACTCACACTTCTACTTTAACATACTGCAGTCGGTTACAGATGTTATCCATTTCAATGGCCGGGATGTTGTTTTAGCTACATTCTCCACTCCATATAATAGGTAATAGCCACAATAACATTTTAACTTCTATTTCCTCTATGTTTTGCTTTTCACTGCAGTTCCTTTTAACTTTATGCAAGCACAAGAAGAGATCGCTCGTACAACATAATTATTTTGTACCCTGCACTTAACAATAGCTTGTGTTCAATTTTAAGGCACCCTGCTATTGCTTACTTCATACCTGGTAACTTAGGGTGGCTTTCAGCCATTTACTATCTGGACACATTCCTCAGACATATTTTCTTTACAAAGGAATAGTTTACACCAGCCACCAAGAAGTGCTCCAGTGCGTAACCTGCAGAATATTATTCCAAAGAGAAAATACAGTATTTTTTTCTCACAAAGAAAGGACTGTGTCTGTCCTGTCTGTAGCTAAACCTCCAAGAACCATATTATCTCCTTCTTTTTGTTTTATGCATCCCTGGTGACTCTTGCATTGATCTTTGACCATGCATTGACCCTGCTGCCCCCTGACTCTCCTGGGAGAACCAAGGTCTTGCTGGCTGGAAAGGAGGGTCTCCAGAACACCTATATTTCATTGTTTGCGTGGTTATCCAAAAGCATCAATTCATCTGTAGAGATTTTATCACTGTTTACACATTTTAGCGTGTTTTTCTGGAAGTTATTAGAGGAGTAACTGTATCTAATTATTGAGAACTCCCAAAGTTAAAAAAATAGTCGCTTTCTAATTAAAAAGTATATTGCAATTTCACACAGTAACATTTGATCTAAAAGAGGAATTTTATTGTTGAAATTCATTTAGTTTTGCTGTACCCTTGCCACTCCTTGTCAAAGCCTGACCTCAGTAAGGTCATTCACAGAACTTATTTCAAATGAGAGTAAGCCTGGATCTGTAATGTAAAATCACCACTTTTGACATCAAAACAATAGAAACTGCAATGGAGTAATTATGCCACCAATAGGGAATACAAGCTTAAATTAAGTTGATCTCTTTTCATGCAATCTGGCTTAATAAAAACAGGCGAACAAATAGAGATTCAACATCAGAAAATAGATTGTATCTTGCAATTATCTCAAAATTGAGATTGTACTCCCACCCTGCTAGTATTTCCTGTGGTGTTTCATGAATAATTCTTTTCCTTAAGTATTGCATTTTAGAATCGAAGTACTTGGTGTAAAAAGCAAAATACTGTTTTATAGGCTGCAGGTTTTGCCAGACATGGAAGATGACAGAAAAGCATATATTTATTCTTGGACACAGCTTTTTAGCAGACCTGGCTACCCGGAGGGCCAAGCATGTTCTGGAGAGCATCAGGCACAGCATCTCCAGTCAAGCAAGGGAGGGGATTGTCCCACTCTGCTCTCCTCTGGGGCAGCTTCACCTTGAGTGCTGGGGGAAGTTTTGGGTACCACAATATTAGAAGGATCTAAAGATATCAGAGACCATCCAAAGGAGAGCAATGAAGGCGGTGAAGGACTTTAGGGGAAGCTATATGAGGAGTGAACGAAGCCCTTGGCTTGTTTAGCCTGGAGGAGAGGAGACCGAGGGAAGACCTCACAGCAGTTCAGAGCTTCCTCATGAGTTGAAGAGGAGGGGCAAGCACCAGTCTCTGCTCTCTGGTGTCTTGTAAGAGGACTCAAGGAAGCTGAGTCATAGAGGTTTAGGTTGGATATCAGAAAAAATAGGTTTTTCACCCTGAGTGTTGTTGGGCGCTGGAGCAGGCTCCCTGGGGAAGTTACCAAGCCTGACAGACATCAAGGACCATCTGGACAATGCTCTCAGGCACATGGTGTGATTCTTGGGATGTCCTCTGCAGGAGGATTGGACTTCAATGATCCTTGTGAGTCACTTCCAGTTCAGGATATTCTGTGATTCTGTAGTTCTATGAAACCTACTTCTGACATAAATGCATCTCTCATTCCTCCTTCACTAAAGAAATGTTGAAACAAATACCTTTGGTCTCTAGAACAAAGTTTCCTTCTAGACTGAAGTGGAAGAGATTTTTCAGTCTAATCAGAGGTCACTCAAGTAGAAACTAGTGTTGAGTTGTCATCCAGTAGTTCATAGGTGGCTTGGACCTCCTTGGCTGTGACTCACAGTGCTCCATCCTTCCCACTACATCATACTACAGACCTGTAATCTGTCACCCTCATGAGTAAAACACATTTCAGTCCTTTGAGAACAGCAATGCTTCCATCCGTGTGTAGTTTTGTGTTGAGCACTTTTAGTAGTGTGTGACACTACTAGATTTTATGGTTGGTTTTTTGTCTTAAGGACTTAATTCAGCAATGTGCAAAATATTCTAGCTGGAGTGGGTTTTGAGCTGTCTTTTAGGATGAGGTCCTCTGTGTGGCCAAATACCCTTGACCATCTCTTACATCCATGTATATATGGCTGCCTCCATTTAAAACTCCTGCTGTGCAGAATCACATTAATATTGAGCTTTTAAGTTTCCTTCTATATCAAAAGATAAATCTGTGGAGATCAAAATAAAACTACTGTACTGTCTCTCAACTTGTTTTTCTTCAGTAAAAAGCATTTTGAAATTGTTTACTATTCAAATGATTGTTTTTCTATCAATTTATATACCTTTAGGAGTTTAGCTTAATCATCTGTAACAGTATTATAGTTCCTACAGTTTTTTCTTTGATGTATAATAACCTACTAGCTAAGAGCAGGATTGAAAGCCTGAGCCAGCTGGGTTCATGCTATTTACCCAATAAAATCAAGTGGTGGGAGTCAGACACAAATACAGTAGCTCATGTACAAAATAAATAAAAAATAGGTGAGAAATTAGTATTTCATGCTTCCAAGCAACTGATCATGCTAAACCCACACGCCTTTCAAAAAGTATGTATGTAAGAAATTAACTATGTGTGGACAATGCTGTTGTGCAGTTGCAATCAAGTATCCAAAAAACTGAAATTTGCAATGTTATGATCTTAAAATAATATCAAATTTGTTTCTATAAGCTCTTTCATTTCATTGAGTAGACCAAACTCCTGAGTATAGTTAACTCCTTTTCATTGGGAACACTTTGTGGATATCAGGCTGTGGGAGCATGAATGAATTACATGTAAAAGCCAGGTAAATGGCACATTGCAGCATGCTTCCAGTTTGATTAGAACCAACTTCTGAATTATATGCAATGTGCTTTTTAAGGCATGGCAGGGACTACAAGAGTTGGTACTGAGAGATGTTAAGACTTAGAAGACCTTAAATGTCCAAGTAATGGGTTCTGAATGAGACTGGCGATTTCTCCTCATGTGTTGCCAGTGACAGACAAAGTTTGACCAATTCTTTCCCTTTTTCAAGATTATGACAATTACTTATTTCTGTGAAGCTTTGAATAAAATTCTCTTGGCAGGAGCTGCCTGCTGACTGGTATTCAGGCTTTTCCATGGGGCTGGGTTTTCCTGTTAATACCAGATTTAGAGTTAAGTATTGAGTAAAGGAAGGCTTCTATAGAGCATATTTTTCTCAAGGTTTTATGTATAACTGCAGAATGAGTAACAATTTCTGGGAAATGTCACTTTGCAGCATTCCTGGCTCTGCAGTCTGTGCCTATGACATGCTTGACATTGCCAATGTATTTACTGGGAGATTCAAAGAACAAAAGTCTCCAGACTCCACATGGACACCAGTTCCTGATGAACGAGTGCCCAAGCCCAGGTATGTTTCATGTGTAGTGATATTGTTCAGTTCCTTCATACAGGCCACAGAGGCTTTTTAATATTTTGAACAGCCTTGTAAGGTGCAGATACAATTATACATGTTGAAACAATAAAGTAAAAGTTGAGTTGAATTTGGATCTAAACTATGCAATAGAGATTTTTCCACTTAAATGACATTTGGGTAACATATATCAGGCCAGCATCAGATCCACTTGGTCAGAATAATCAACTTAAGAATGGTGTGAGTTACACAGTTATTGTAAATTGGTTCAGTAACAGATATATCTCATTACAAGGCCTGCACCAGTCAGAACTAGAACAGTTTGCTATTCTATGATTAACATGCAGTTTAAGTGCCACAGTGGATGATTTATGGAGAGCAAAAAAGAGCATTCCACCAAACTAGAGATTCAGTTTACTTCATTCCTCCTATGAGTTGTTTTCCCCACTTTCACATGTTTGCATGCATCTCCTCTACTACATTCTTCATATTTCTTACAAGTACTATTTTAAACAAGTTGCTGTTGACAGACACTTGTTAACTCATTGACACCAATGGCATTTTGTTGTGAGATATTGAGATGCATATAGATAAATCAAATTCATTTATCTCACTTAAGCTTTGCACCTCTATTGCATGTTTTACATTGCTTGTGATAGCTTAAATAATTTCAAAAGGAAAAAGCATCCAAAGTATTCAGTGCAGTGTTGAACACCTCAATATAAGAAGAATGTAAAGCTGTTGGAAGTATCCAAAGGAGGGCTACAAAGATGTTGAAGGGCTTAGAGGGAAAACCATGTGAGGAGTGGCTGAGGCCGCTTGGCTTCCTTGAAAAAAAAGGAGACTGGGGAAGACCTCATCACAATCTACAACTTCCTCATGAGGGAAAGAGGAGGGGTGGACGCTGATATCTTCTCTGTGCTTACCAGTGACAGGACACATGGGAATGAACTGAAGTTGTGTCAGGGGAGGTTTAGGTTGGACCTTAGGAAAAGGTTCTTCACCCAGGGAAGTGGTTTGGCACTGGAACCTGGGCTCCAGGGAAGTGGTCACAGCACCAGTTTGATAGAGCTCAGGAAATACACTCATGGCACTCTCATGGCACTCTCACGGCACATGATGTGATTCTTGGGGTGTCCTCTGTGGGGCCAGGAGCTGGACTGCAGTGATCTTTCTGGATTGCTTCCAGTTCACAATGTTCTATGAGTTCATGAAGCTCCATGGTGGACACTGAGCTTCTGCCTAGTCCATCATGTTTTGGATTTGCCAAGTGTAGTATTACTGTGCTGTCTGTATTCCAAAGTTGTCATTCAAGAGAAGAGCTTGAAGGTGACTGGAAAATTGGTAAATCCTGTGTCTGTTTTCAGTCTGAGCCTTAGTAATGCAGCTTCTAGCAGTGTTGCAGAATTTTTCTTCTTCATTTTGCAGTGTTTCAAACAAGTTGCTGACTACAATGGTCTGCCTTGGGGGTGCAAGGCTGCATGATGACTCCAAGGTTATTTGTTTGGACCTTGCTGAGATATATTGGCAGGGAAGGGGAAAAGAAGAAGAAGAAAGTGTGAAAGAAGAACAGAAAGTTGCATTACAAGTTTTGGATGAGCCAATAGCAGGCTAACTTTTGTGATGGAGATGGGATAATATTGCTCTTTCTAAGCCTGAAGAACATAATCTGAAGTGAATTGTGAACAGTGTTTCATGTAATATTTAGCCATCAATCTGCTTAATAGAAATAATCGTTACTTCTAGCTCATGCAGAAGTATATGACAGGCACCTCTGATATAAGGTCATTTTTATCTGGGTTTCTCAGTATGATGCAGAAACATTACTGCCCCTAATGATCCTAACATTACTCAGAAAACTACCAGAGCCCTTCTGAGGTGTCACTTCCCTGTTTGGCCAGACAGCAGGTTTGCTGGGATTTATGTTGACTCAACTAAACCAGTTTTGGGATTAAAACAGGATTAATCCAATCATGCTATTAGGATTTAGGAGTAAATAGGCCTCCAGATTAGATACACAGAAACCGTAGACACCACGGTGCCAGAAGGTGCCAGGCTGTTTCCTCAAGTTCTCTGGGAATGTTGTCTCATGGGTCAATGCCCTTGCAAGGACCGGGGAAATCAATTATGCCCTTGATTTTTCCTTCTCTCCATCTGTTGTTAGTTCTACATGCAATTACAAGACAGCTAAAGTATTTTGGATATGAGGAGGCAAGAGTACACACTGTCTGCATGTAATGTTCCTTGCTCAGCTCTTGTGGGACCAGACTTGTTGACACAGCTAGGTCCTTCCAGTCCTATGTTCCCTTCCCACACAAGATTTATTTACCTAATATTTGACTATTTATCTAAATCTGAGCAACACAGATGATAGGATCAGTCCTGTTCAAGTTGACGTTACTCTTGGTGTCAATGCCTTTACCCACAACAGAGTAGATGAAAATTGGATGATGCAATGTGTTTCGGAGTGAGTGGTCCATCTTTCATCTTCCCACCTCACACTGGCCCATAGGTTTGAAGAATCACAGTGCTCTGGAAAATGGAATCAAATGAGCCTTTTATTAAAGAAAATGACCTACACAATATTAACAAACAAAACACTTTGCTGATTCTTTGAGAGATGGCCTGTCCAGGCAAGAAGATTGGCCTACATCTTAGGAGCAGGTAGATTTTAGAAATAGCATAAGCAGATTTGCATTTAAGTTGTTAAAGAATGGCAGATAACTTTTTAGTGAAAATTCTCAATGAGCTACCATTCTTAAATCATCTCATCCAAACTGAACAAAGGGTAAAAACAATGTGTTCATGGATGCTATTCAGTTTTTCTTCTTCAATAGTCAGTTTTCTATCAGATGTGACTAAAAGTAGCGTTTTTTCATACCTGTTAAAAAAATTAACTTCTTCCTGTATTATAGGGACTTCTTTTATTCCAGGAGAAAGCAGTCAGTCAGGCAAGTTACAGAATCAGAAAACACCTGTGCAATTGGGAAGCATCAAGCCAAATGCACACATGCTGTGATTACATTCCATATGAATGGATAAATTACAGAACTGTGTGTGTAGTGCTCCTGATGAAAAAATTATTTTGTGCTCATAAGTGACACATGAAGTCCTTCAGAATGGAGGACAGAGCAGGATTTTAGGCTTCCCCTGAGGTGCTGAACAAGTCCACCACACTTATCGATCCTCTGTCAAGTTAAACTCCTGCAAAGCACATCATATTGCAGTTAGAGCTTCATCACAAAAGGAAGCTTGCCCTCGGTGAAATAAGTTTTCTGGCTTTACTGTCTCGTTTTATGTAGGCCTGGTTGCTGTGCTGGCTCTACATCATTAGAAAAATATGTAACATCTAATGAGTTCCCAGATGATACCCTGAACTTCATCAAAACACATCCACTGATGGACGAGGCTGTACCTTCCATTGTCAACCGACCCTGGTTCCTGAGAACAATGGTCAGGTACGTGCACTGAGTGAGCTCTATCTGCATTGTAGCTGTCAAGTTGTGCCAACAGCCTTGCTTCCAATACCCTCCAACTCTGTACATGTCCTGGTGTCCTGGGCATGAATCCAGCTAGGAATGGTGGCAGAGCTGAGCAGATGCTGCGGAACTCCCTGAGGAGCTTTCAAGATAGGAAAGACCTCAGTCTTTTCCAACCGTGCTGTGCTGAAGCCGGATGTTGTGGGAACTGCTGTGCGGGGAAGGCTTAATCATCTTTTGGCTTACGGGTCAATGTTTGAGATGGCTCAGTAAAAACTTCAGGCAAGGATCAGCAGACAATTCAGGAATATGTACACAGGATACAAACACGTCTGCCAGGATATGTTGACAGGATATGTAGATGTCTGTCAGGTTATGTACTGGTAAGCTTTAATGTTTGCACAAGTGTATAGAGCAGAAGTAATTGCCTAATCTGCATCCTTTCTATAGCAACAAGAAAAAAATAGTAACAGATTGAACAAAGACTCCTAAATCACCAAGTGTTAAATACACTATCCCCTTCCTATCAAAATACATTCCCACTCTCTGCTGTGGTCATTATACTACTTATCTACCCTGCAGCAGTGAACAGAATAATGTGAGTAACTTTTGCCATATTTTCTGCTCTTCCGCTGAGCAAAGGTAGAATATTGTGTTGGGCACTTAGTTCTGTGGAAGGGTCTGATTTTGTTTCAGTAATGTATCTTATGTCAGGTTTTTCTGTCAGGTTCTGTGCCTCCAACCAAAGATGAGAGTAGCAAGCTCCACAGAGTGCTTCCCTTTGATAGGCAGTACCATCCAACTAGTACCAAACCACCAGTATACTTGTTTTCAATAAATTGTGTCACCCCAAGATTTGATTTCACTTCAGTGCTGAACTTGCTCGGTGGCAGTCGTGTGATTTTTAGTGAGGTAAAATGGTGTTTAGCATCTTACTCTTGCAGTGACACAGCTTTTCCTGACAAAACAAGTTGAACCTAGTTCAGCTGCTTTTAATGTGACAGAGCTTGAAATTTTTAAAACAATTCACTGTACTGAATCTCTATCCCTGTCTGAAGAAATCACCAGGCTTTTGGAAGGATAATTCCTAAATGCCCTCAGGCTCCTAGCAGCCCTTCAGCTTTCTGAACGTCTAGACACTTCTGAAATTCTGTACACTTCTGGTGGCTGTTGGATGTGTGGGTATGCAAACACGTGAAAATTCCCCAACATCTGGGGAGCCAAATTGGTACAGTCTGTGTTGATTTATAGAGAGGTAAGAAAAGTGCTTAAATGTGTTTTATGGTTGCTAGAAATGTACCATACACTTATCTGACGAGAAGAAAGTGATTAAATAAATGACAATTTTGTGATTATCTCTGTGATTTATCTCTGAAAATGCTCTATTGTTTTAGATATCGCCTGACCAAAATTGCTGTTGACTCTGCTGCTGGGCCATATCAGAACTATACCGTGGTTTTCTTGGGGTCAGAGAAGGGAATCATCCTGAAGTTCTTGGCACGGACAGGAAACACTGGTTTCCTAAATGACAGCCTTTTCCTGGAGGAAATCAATGTTTACAACCCTGAAAAGTGTGTATCTGATTCTTTGTACTCATGTATAGGTGACTTTGAACTTCTGATTTCCCAGAGAATAACTTGTCCCATGGAAATGGAAGTGGTTAGAGAAGCCAAGTTTTTTGGGTAATTTTAAATTGTTTAGGGAGGGGATGTCTGCTTATCAGTCTCTACATTGCAATAAGATTTTTTATTCAATCTGTGTAGAAAATAGCCCATCCTATGCAGCAGCTGATGGATAATTAAAAGTGAAGTTCTGGAAAGGAAGATTAATTTTCTAATCCTATAAAAAACCCTGATTCCTCTCCAAATAACTCAGCAAGCAGCAAGCAACTCTCCAAGGGAAATTTTCCACATTTCAGTCTTCCTCAAATATGCCTAAGGGGGCTTTGAAGTGAGCCATAATCAGGCAGAAATTTCAGCTGCTTTGAGTGCTGGAGAAGAATAAACACAAAAACAAAGGGGCGTCAGAAGCTTTTCTGGTGTGCTGTTGCTCCCAAATTCTTAACCATCCCATGCATTTTTAATACTTTCTTATATGTCTGTCAGTATTTTTAGTGGCTATTGTGTGTTCTTTTCTCCTTGACTTGTTTAATTCTACCTTTCTTATGGATTTTTTTTGTGGAAGCTTTTTTGATCTTATTTTTTCAGCCTGGGGGACAATTAGGGTTTCCCCCAGCAGAGCCCAGTTGCAACCACATCCCTTTTTTATCCAAATCAGGTGCAGCTACGACGGCATGGAGGACAAGCGGATCATGGGCATGCAGCTTGACAAGCCCAGCAGCGCCCTGTACGTCGCCTTCTCCACCTGTGTCATCAAGGTGCCCCTGGGACGCTGCGAGCGTCACGGCAAGTGCAAAAAGTACGTGTTTGGTGGTGGCTGTCAGAGGCCTGGGCATTGGGCAAGCTGCAGCACTCCTGAATGCCACCTTGTGCTCTTCTCTCCCAAGGGCCTGCATAGCATCCAGGGACCCATACTGCGGATGGGTGAAGGAGAGCGGGGTGTGCACGCAGCTGGTCCTTGGCTCCAAGTGAGTAAGGGCTCTCGCTGGAAGGGCTGTGAAGCTCTGGCAGTGGTGCCAGGCAGTCTTGGGCAAAGCTATTTGAAACTTGTGGCTTTTAGAGAGGGGAAAAATGTGGGAAGTGTTTGTTTCTATCTTATTTGCATTCACCTCCGAAATGTCTCACAAATTTTTTTGATGTGAACAGTCAGCTGATTGGTAACTGCTGAAAGAGGAGGAAGAAGAAAATGAAAGAGCTGTGTTAAGGTCCGTGTATTATTGAAAGGAGTGAACTGGATGGATATGTCTGGACCAGCCTACACTGGAGCCATCACAGCTGATTAAAGAGGCAATAGAATCCAAATTAAATTACTGAAGTAATTTGTCCACTGAAAACAAAACCAGTCCTTCTAATTTACTGTGCATTACTAAGAGGAATAACAGAGCACAATAAGGGCTTAAAACAGATTTAGAGAAGTGCTGGATCTCCCCTTGCTTAACAGTAGAATTTAATTATTTTATGATAATGAAAGTCTGGGAAGGTTAGAGGGAGCAAACCCACTTCAGAGCTCACATTTCATGGCCACTTCTGACACACCACATGACTGCCCACTCTGAGCTATCAGCTGTACTCCCTCATGGTAGTAGTGGAAGTGTAGCATAGACATGACAGAGCCTTGAGAGCCCTACATCTGATGCCATTTAACCTTGCTTCTCTACAGGTCCTCACTATATAATAGACAAGCATACTGTGCTTCTGTCTTGTTCTTAATTTGCTGATTTCCACCATCTGCTGGGGATGCTGTAGCTGTATGTGTCTGTATATGCTTGACTACAAAAGTGTGGGCTGTTTCTGATTTGACTTTTGGTAGGGTAATATTAAAATGTACCTGTGTCCATATCAGGTTTTTCATAACTCCAAAAAGTGCTCGAGGCTTCTTCAACTTCCATGGCAAGTTGTAGGGGACTTCCATATTTCACTTTTTAGAGCAGCTCCCACTTTCCTCAGTAGATCCATCGAGACAGAGGCTGTGCAGTTTGCAGTGATGAAGTCCAAAAGAGATCAAGGCCGCCCATGTTCTGTCCAGTGCTTAGGAAGGGGGTCCAGATTGGCTGTGAAAGTATCTGGTGAAGTTCTAAGCTGGCCAACAGGAGGCAGAGATGTTAGTCATCCTCCAGGAGTAGATGACAGTAGAGCAGGTGCTTTAAGAACACAGAGGTAGAATGAGTTGTCTGCAAGGGTAATTATGCCTCAAGGGCAGGATTCTAATATAGGCAAGGGCTTGTATTTGGAAGTTTTCCAAGGTTCTTGTCTTTCACCTTTGACCACTCAGGAAGTTGGAAGAACAGCTTCCATAGTTATCCAAAATCACAGAGTGAGCTTGGGAGCATAAGCTGAGCACATCAGCTAGAAAATCACGTGAGTGTTTGTCAGTAGAGCCCTTGAGTTAAAAGGAATACCTCTTGTGGGATGCACATTATGCCTTGAGCCTCATCTGGTGCCGTACCTAAGTGACTGCTGAAATTCAGGCTTCTTCCTCAAGCACAGTACCTGCCCAATGGGTTGGCTCCCTTCCCTCTCCAAAGTGCCAGTGCACCTGATCTACTCTGTGCACAGGTTAAGGTAGGGTTACAGGTGCTTCTGATAACATCCTGTATTTAACAGTTTAAAAAATGCAAGTCTTTTCTTCCCTTGGTAATGAAGCATGCTGTGGATTTTTAAAATGTAATAATATAAAGGAAAAGTATCATCAGAAGCTAAGAAATCATTAAGCAATGATGAATAGCTCAAATGTGTATGTTGCGGTTTTTCAGCCTTTGTGTGGAATTTCCAAAGAAATAGCCAGTTTCACAGCAGGGATTTATTTCAATTGAACATGTGATAATTTCTTTCTGGTTAGGCCTATGACTGTTGTTATTCATACTGTTTTGTTTCCTTCTCTTATTTAGACTGTCATTTGAACAGGACATAGAACGTGGCAATACAGATGGCCTGGGTGACTGCCAAAGTAAGCAAAGCTTTTATTTCTATTTACCATGTGTCACAGTATCCTTCTGAATGCCTCAAATCACCATTACCTGTCAGGCATTCTTTTGTAGCAACATAAGCCATGACAGGAACAGCAATGTAGCTAATGGTGTAGGTTCACAAGAAGAACTGTTATTTAAATGTATTTGAGGAAAATAGCCAGTTCCTGTGATTTATACAAACACTGGACTTCAAAGTGGTTGCATAACAAGAAAAGCTCAGCTCTAGAGGATATTGATTACAGCAATGGCATAATGAATTGGGGTCATTGTCTTTATTAGCCCTGGTGGTTGCGTTGTTTATGTAAATGTACAGAAGTGGCTTGGTTTCTTGGTGTAGTCTGTGACTTGGACTACATTTCCATGCAGCACAGTGAGGCAGAAAAATATATCTTCAGTTTGGATCCAGATCAAGAAATGACAACTGCTTAGTTTGTGAATTTTAGGGAATTTTACATACAGTCTGGACAACCTCATGGTATTAAGGGTCAGCTACTATTGCATTGCCTAAGAAATTTTAATGGTAAACCTTAAAACAGCGTGACAGCATGAGCTGGAAGCTTAAACACGGTCTTTAAACATTTATGGCTTTGTACTGAAATGCTTAAAAGTGCATAGCTTGCACTGCATGCAAGGAAACCTTGCTGATTTCTGAGCCTTCAGGAATACCAACATCTGTGTTCAGGACAGCTCTTGTTCCAAATGTTCTCACCAAGGTTGGTTTGCTTCTGAGCTCCAAATATTATTTATAAACCTCATGAAATCAAGACTCTCATCCTTTTCAGTTTAATTTGCACTGTTGCAATAAAACTGATGAAGCTGAGGAATCAATGTACAGTGAGAGAGTCATTACTTCTGCAACACAGAGAAAAATAACAGAGGGCTAGACTGTGCCATGGGACGTGGTGTGAGCCAGACGTTCTGTAGAAAGCCAGAGCCTTCTCATGCCTTGTGCATCCTTATTCAAGAGGCATTAATTACTCTCATCATTTTCAGCCTCTGTCCTAAGATAGGGTAATATAGACCATTGCAAAGATTTTTGAAGGAGGTGTACAGATAGGCCTCCCCTCTGTTCCCCTGTAAAATGGGTTAGCACCAAAATCAGGCCAGCTCCCAGCTGGTGTATCTTTGCCCTTTTCAGCCAGTTCTGCTCTCCTTGGGCAAATAGGTTAGGCAGGAGTGGAATGTACCTGATATCAGTTACATATAAAAGGAGGGTAGGAAATTATTCAGGAAGAGCGCATTGTGCTTATGGAGAGAGATCTGCTTCTGTGCAGAGAGCAACAAAGCCCATGCCCTGCTTAAATCCCTCTTTAGCCCTGAATGGTGCATTGAACCTTGACACTGCACAGGGGTAGATTTCATTCCCTGCTAACACAGCAGATTTTATTACTTCATGTGATCTTGGGTCACCTGAGTTTTGTCCTCATTGACTCACATTGCTGGCTGCATCCCCTGCAGTGCCTTGCCTTAAACTAGGATTTACAAGGAAAGCAGGGGGGACACTGGCCCTCTCTCCTGTACAGTAGGTCCTGTACAGAGCTGGTCGTGAGCACTTTCAAAGCCAGACATTGTTTTCGGGTATGTCTGAATATTAGTTTTGCCTGGGTCCTTAGGGTGCAAATCACATGCTTATAAATATCAGCTGAAACATTAACGCTTATTAGCAGCAAACTTAAAAGAAAGAACAAGATACAAATAATGATTTTTCCCCTGTTATTTGTCTTTCAGATTCCTTCGTAGCCCTGAATGGTAAGGAAGTTCTTAGTTTCAATATTTATTGACAGCAAATCCATTTTGGAGGAATCACTTTTTACTAAACTTAAAAATATTCTTATATTTTTGTTATATTTAATGTTTCTTCCCAATTTATTTTGTTCATAGACATTTCAACTGCTCCACCTGATCAAAAAATGTCTTACTACACAGTGTATGGTCAGTTTATGAGTGTTTTTAAAAATTCTCCCCAAATCCTTGTGTTAGCTAGTAGTATCTGTACTCAAATAGTTGTTACCTCATTTTACTTCTTTTGTCTTGGTTTTGAGGGCCCGATTCACTAATCACAACTAGGATGAAGTCATATCTCTTGGTTTTCAATCCCTCTTTTCTTGTCTTTCCTGAAAACTGTCTCGATTGAACTAAAGTCAGATAAGGCCTATTTTAATGGCATGCCAGCAGACATGATTAAGAGCATGCTTCATCTGACACTCAAAGAAACACTTGGGTACAGTGATGCATCTTATCTGTTCACCAGGACAAACAAGAGAGCAGCTCACATCCCACTTACAAGCTGTCCAGGCTGGTGTCATTACTGCTACATCAGCCAGTCAGAGATACCTTAGGGAAAGTAGAACTATCCCTGGGTTACAGAAGGATCTCTCTCTCACAAGGAAAATTAACCTTTTACCCATGTGGTTTGAGACTGGATTATGCCTCAGTTCCTGAAGGTTCTTGTCATTTCTAGGGTGAGTCATCTATGTTGTCCATTCAAATTTACATATCAAATTAAATGACCTGAACTAAAGAGGATCTTTTCTGCAAGCCTAGCATAGCAGGTTCCCATAAGGCAGCTGTTAATCTGTGCTTATAGTGCTTTCTACCACTTTGTTCTGCATATTTTGAATTAGATTATGCTGTTTCTTGGAGTGAAGAGTAAATGTTTTCATGAGGAGTCACTGCAGAATAAATAATCACTTTAAATTCAAACCTAGACATATATTGCAATAGCTTTTCTTACAGACATCCTGAACAAAGACAAGTCCTCACAAGCTAAGAGATGCCAGTGAAGTCAATGGCAAAATTCCATGAGAGGTGAGAGCTTCCTTGTGAAGTTCCTTTCAGGCTGTACAAGACTAGCAGTTCATTAGGGCTAGATCAAATTCACCATGCATTTGGTTAATGTGAAGTTGTGATGAACTTTTAAATGATCCTTTCATCTTGTGCCTGCAGAGTATGTAGGTATGAAACTGAACCAATGACAGCTCAGTACAGCAGAATATAAATAACCGGAGGCACAGTAATGCTGTTCAACATTTGTAAAAATAAAATCAAATTCCCCCTACTGTTTATTACCAGGAAATGAAAAATGTGCAGGTGAAACTTATTTGAAAGTATGGCAATGAAAGCCAGTGAAGGGAATGTGCAAAATTAAAGGCAAGCTGAGACTTTCTGATATATGGAAGACTCACAGTTTCATCCGCATAGACAGTTTATATCTTCTTTCATTGTGAAATCGCTGTATTTCTAATGCACAGAGCAGTAATTAAAGAAGAGGAATAATAAAATTTGTACTGCTGAATGTGAAGATAAAGAGAGTGGCTTTGGGTACAGTGCTGAAGTGCCAGAAATGTTCTAGATTTCCTGCTTGTATGTGAATTCCATAGTCTGCAGAGTTATAGCTGTGGAACTGTGGTTCTGGATCCTGCCAGCTAGAGTATTAGTAGGTACTTTGGTAAAAATTGATATTTTAATCTGACTAAGATAGCAGAAAAGTGCTTTAAGTGAGCAGCAGAAGGAAAAAAGCTGTAGTCCAAGAGAGTACAGTTAACAAAAGAGAGTACATTTGTCCAAGCATGTCAAGGCCAAAAAGAGACTCCATAAATGAACCCAGCTTTTAGAGTAGGACCTTACAGACAGGTGCAGTGGAGAAACGCTGACCCAGCATTAGTGTGAGTTCCTGTTCATGTCCTGCCTTTTACGGTTTATTTCATTGACCCCTCTCAGGTACATCCTGATAACATGCTCTCTATGCAAGTCAGCTCGCCTTTTATTGGTTTAGTAAAAATACCTAGTCTGATATTTTTGCAGTTGGGCTTTCTTTTCACCTACCACTAGTGACCTTCTATTGATCTTCCACTAGGATGAGGTAGTAAACCAGTCTCGGTAAACATGTTCATGTTTGCCAACTGTAGAGACTGGTCAGAGTAATTTGGCATCTTGAAAAAAGCAAAAAATTTATGAATTATCTATTTTAATGTTATTGAGTACAGTTTAATGCAAAGGTAAATGGTATGTCACAATAGATTAAGCCTCAGAACACCAGTACCAGAATGCCAACTGAGTGAATGCTAAATATACCCAAAGTCATCTGAAGCTCCAAAAGAAGTCATAAGGCCTGATTCTCTTCACTTATGACACTATAAATCATCCTCCTTCAACAGACTTACTGCCAATCTGTAGCAGTGTGAATGAGAGGAGAACCAAGCCCTTAATCTTTGCATTCCTGGCACCAACCTCCTCCTGATTTTGGCACATGGGCTCTCTTCCTAGGGCAGTCTCACATGATCAGTTGTAAAAAAGTAACATCCAAAGTTCATGCAGGTGACTCAATTGACACCCAAGGAGAGGATAGTAGACTGAAGGTCTGGATGCAGAAAGTCAGGGAGAAATTATGCAGGAGACGCATATTGAAACAAGGAGATTAAGCTAGATCACTCTGCAAAAGTCTAAGCAGCTTCAATTGCCTTTGGAAATATCAATTCTTAGTGAATTGGGCCCTTATATTACCCCCTAGCCATAGTCCTTTCTCTCTCTATAGTATTGATTTAACTTTTCCTCTAATTGTCTAATTAGATGGCTTTAGCTGTTAATAGGATAGCGTGCAGATATCTTAACCTCTGAGATTCTAATGACTTGTGCATATTAGACCAGCTATCAAATACTGATAGTATTGAATCTCTGTCTTTGTTTTAAACCTGAAAAAAAACCTCTTTGCATTTTACAAGTGCACTTCAGAACAAGCTATAGTTTCAGAAGTGCAGCCTTTCTGAATCATTATCTGTGCTTGTAGGCACTAAGTGCTTTTACTCTGCCTCTGTTACTTGATTACAGCACTCCAAATGAAAAGTTTTTCCAAATAATGGAAGCACCTAATCCAGATTTTTTTAGAGTGTGTCTATTTGATTTTTACATGTTTTCTTTAAACAAAGACATTTGAAAAGCACTATGTGTAGTTATTCGGATGCTTTGTTTTAAAACAAAGGCAGAATTGGTTTTTCAGATGTTTTTGTATTAACCATTATTAACACAGAGGTACTGGCCACATCTCAGATGTGCTAATGCCTCATTAAATTTCAACAAATCTTATTTGCAAGTTAGAGTGGTGAAAAATGGTGTAATGGGAAAAAAAGGCCCACTATATGTTGATAACTATATAGTGCGTTGTAAAGGCTTGATAATGACTGTGTGTGAGAGGGCCAGGAGTGGCTTGCCTGCCACTTCAGTCTTTTCTCTGTTTATGAGGGAAACTTAAATAGGTCATACATTTGTGGTGCTACTCTGCTCAGAGGTGAAATTCACCCAGTGGGACTGGCTATTCAGGCACTTACAGGACACTGTGATACTGCTTACAGGAGCAGTATCACCGCCTAGTAGTAAGTGTTTGCAAATACAGCTCTAACACAACTGGGATGGGCTATTAAGGTTTAATCTGCTTCCTCAAAATCCAGTGGAAGGAAGTTTGTCTCAATTAACTGTGTAAGCTTGCTTCTCAGTGTGTACTAGTCTAATACATTAGTAACAGAGAGAATAAATATACTGATTCCTTGTATTTGTGCGGAACCCCTCTCTACCTAGTGACCATCTGGTACACATTAATAGCTTCACAAAGCCTTAGCTTTCCATTACCAGGAAGTTCTCTGTGTATTGGCAGCATATGGTTCAAGATTTTTTTTTCCCCCTGAAAAATGTGTCCCTTAAGCATATAGTTCTTCTAGATTTCTGTATTATGAAATGTTTCTCTTTAACAATGCTTATAGCTTTTCCCTAGAACTCTTCCTTTAGGCACATTTAAAAGTACAAGTGTCTGGAAAGAGATACAGGTGTAAAAATGCATATCAAACACAGGCATAAAATATGATTGCTACTTGGCAAGATTTTCTTCTCTTTTACCTCCTTATCAAGCAATGACTAATTGCTGTCTTATGGTGAGTGCACCACTTTGTGTAAGCTTACCAAATACTGTACACATTATTGTTGTTGCTGAATGGGGTATAATCTTGAAGACTGGAACCCCATGACTGTTTGCACTGTGGTTTAATCCTTAGGGAAAAGAAAACATGAAAATTCCATAATTTCTATTTTCTCGTCTGTTCTCTGCCTTGTTATTTGTCTTGTTCCTTGAGAGTGAGCACATGAGTTGACAAGCATAAAATAGTGTTGGAGTGAATGCTTTCAGGATCCAGCATATTCTTGCTTCAAGAAGGGGGTGTGTTTTCAGTTGCTGGACCCCTACCAGTCCCTTTGGACACAAACAGTCCTGCTGCAGGAATGCTGTGAAGCAGGCAGAACATTTGGATTAGAGTTCAAATGGAGTCCTCTATCTGTGTGCTACCAATGTCCTCAGCCATGACAGGACTTATGGAAACCTTTTAAAAAAGGATCATATTTGGCTTCTCTTTTCTATTTGGGTGACATTCTGTCGTAACAAAACACAGCATTTAAAACTCTGTCTTAACAAAACACATTTAATTTGCTGCTTTAAAGAAAGATGACTGGGAGAAAACACACATTCTACCATGAGAGGGTAAAATATAATCCATTGCCCTTGTCAGTATAAAACCTTCAGAATGACATCCAGAGCTAAATTGTGTTAACAATTAGTTGTAGTTGAAGGGTGGCTTCATGGTGAGAGCACTGTAAATTTAACCAGTGTTCCTTTCTAAGCATACAAGTTAAAGGAGTTCATTGTGGCCATGTCCTGTACAAAACATAGTCCAAAGTGCTCCCATATATAATTCAATTCAGTAAATCAAAATGGCTCCTCAAAAACTTATAGAGGAGCACAGACATTTTTTTACTCTAAAGTCATTCATATTCAACAGGGTTTCTTTAAATCATATCATCTTAATAATAGTTGCAGCATTTTGCTGACTTCGTCAGTAGTTCAACACCATGAAGCTGGTGAAAGGGCTGGATAAAAAGAATCATGTGGGTGCATCTAAAAGCTTGGGGACATTGGTGGCCAACATTTAGATTTTTGATAGTTGGAGTAGAATTGAGGATCTAGGTTCATCATCTCTCTCTAGACTTCTGAAAGCTGGGGCTGTATGGCTTTAGAAGCCATTTAAAACAGCATTTTTGAGATGCAGCTTTCAAAAGCTTTGTGGTTATCCAGGAGCTGTTTAAAATAAATTACAGAAGCACAGGCTCTACCTGCCCAGCTCTGTGCCTTCTGTGTGAGGCTTAAATTTCAGCTCCTTGTGTTGATCTGTCACTGCCCCAGTGAGTCTCAAATTATTTTTCTGAGCAGTGAAGCAAGATCAAGGAAAGGAGCAGATACAGGGTCCCTGCTAGGGCAGCCTGTATCCTGGTGATTGGACTCCTCTCCAAGTGAGATTCATCTGAGGAAGGAAAATTAATTTGCTGGGCTGTTCAAAAGGAGACAGGAGAAAGGAGGGCTGCTGTCACTCTGTCTAGAGTTATCTGATGAAAAATGTTATATGCCATCCTGTCTGTGAATAATCCAATTCTGTTAGTTTGAGCATGTGTCAAAAATCCTGTTTTAATGGGCTCCTTAAGAAAAGTAGGTAAGGGGATATAGTTACTCTACAAATTAGGGAGGCCCAGAACTCCTTGAATCCTGATGAAAATAACTCACTTTTTCACATGTACAAAAGGAAAATTTCAGAATGGTTTTGAGGTCAAATTGTTGTGGTGTGGATGGCTTTTGGTGCCCTCTCCCCAAAGCAGCTGAGCCACTGGAAAGTCCATGTGGGAGCTGTCTTCCAGAGACAGTAGACTCCAAGCACCTCAAGCATTTTAGGTGCTGATGTGCTTTTCAGGTCCAGTTGTGAAGAGTGTATGAATTTGCAAACATGCTGTTGTCCCATCCAAACCACATTTCAAATTGTGCTGTGTTTCCAGTGGGGCAAGTTCTGCTGTTTGTTGGGGTGTATATGATATGCAAGAAGAAGCTCAGTCTTGTTCAGGGCAACAGTAACAATGTCTAGAGCATTTGTAATGGAAAAAAGGCATGTGAGACCTCAGCCTCAGCTGCTGCTGGAGTCACAGGCTCTTGGGCAGATCCACGTGGTGAGGCACTGTCTTCACTGTGGCTCTGAGTAGAAATGGTGCTCAGTCTTCTGCTTATTTCAGAGCCATTTTGGGCCACCAGCTCAGACAGGACCAATAGCGATAGTGCAAGCGGGTGCGAGCAGCTGGCCCAGGATATTTCTCATCTGGAGAGGAGTGCCGCAGCATGAGCACACTGGTGTTAGGCAGTGCCTCACTCCCCTGGGGACATGAGGTAGAGTGCCTCATGATGTCACCATTTTGTAGTTCTTCTGGCATTCCCAATCAGTTCCAGCCATTTTGGACTTTGTTCTGTTGTACAATGATTTTTTTATTTGCTTTTTGACTGAGCCAGTATCAGACAGCATGGGCTGACACTTCAGTTTCAGTCAGGCATGTGTGCTGAATCCAGCCAAAGGATGCTTGACTCAGATGAAGTGTGCTTACCCTCTTTCATATGCATTTAACTCTGTCGAGAAGCACAGAACTGCCAGCTCAGTGGCAGCACCTTTTAGCACCCTGATCTGGAAGGTTCAAATCCCCTCTTCCTTCGGAGTCATATTTTGAAGGACTTTTGAAGTATTACTCAGCCTAAGACAAGATGTTCACCTGTCACAGAAGCATGGGGAAGTAGCGTGGTAAGTGACTAATGAGACTTGTCTTCCCTACCTGTATTTATAATGTGAACAGGACACTCCAGTTCCCTAGTCCCAAGCACCACCACTTCTGACTCTCGCGCTCGACAGGGTTATGATGCTAGGGGACGCATGCTGGATTGGAAGGATCCGCTTGGTTCATCTGAAAATACAGATCCATATGTGGCAGTTTCATCCCATAATCATCAAGACAAGAAGGGTAAGGCCTTGGAAATGACATCCTGTGGTGAGGAGGGAGGGGGAGGAGGACTAAAGTGTAACTGCTTCCAGCTGGCTGAGAGTAACATGTAATGAAACTCCCGCACTATAATTAAAAGCTTATCGTAAAGTCTGAAACTAAACAGCCAATCTTAGAGTCAGTCCTAGATAATTCACTGCCTGAGGAAACCACACAAAACAAACAGAAGTGTAGGCCTTTATAGAGAGTTTTGTGCATGTGTATGGGAAGGGGGTAGCAGGGGATTTAGCTCTCTTTAAATTTGATCTCCCCTGTTGTCTGACAAAGCAAGATCCATGGCTTCCTATTGTTCTTTAGGATGCATTTTTATATTGCCTTTCTCTGAATTCCCAAGGCAGCATGACAGTTCTCAGCTAATTTCACATTATTTCCATCTCTCAATAACCATAGAATCATAGAATCATGAAGTGCTTTGATTTGGAAGGGACCATAAAGATCTTCTTATTCTAACCCCCCCTGCCATAACCAGAAGGACTTTCCACTTGACCAAGCTGTTCCAAACCCTCATTCATAACTGGCCTTAAACAGTTTTGGGAATGGGCCATCAACAACTTCTCTGGGCAACCTGTTGCAATGCTTCACCACCCACCCTCAGAGTAAAGAATTTCTTCCTCATATCTAATTTAAACCTGCCCCCTTTCAGTTTGAAGCCATTTCCCTTGTCCTATCACTACATGCCCTTGTAAAAAGTCCCTCTTCAGCTCTTATATATCCCCCTCTAGGTACTGGAAGGCTGTTATAACATCTTGCCAGAACCTTCTCTTCCTCACCCTGAGCAACCCCAGCTCTTTCAGCCCTCTGATCATCTCTGTGGCCCATGTCTTTCCTGTGCTGGGGACCCCAGAGCTGGACACAGCACTCCAGGTGGGGTGTCACATGAGCAGAGCAGAGGGGCAAAATCCTCTTCCTCGCCCTGCTGGCCACACTGCTCTGGATGCAGCCCTATACACATTTGGCTTTCTGGGCTGTGAGTTGCCCTGCTCAGGTGCTTTGCACTTGGCCTTGTTAAACCTCAGGGTTCCCATGAGTCTACTTCTCAATCTTGTCTGAGTCCCTCTGATGGCATCCTGTCCTTCAGGTGCATCAGTCACACCACACAGCTTGATGTCATCTGCAAACTTCCTGAAGGCTCACTCTGTCATTGATGTCACTCACTATGTCATTGATGAAGACATTGGCCCCAAAATTGACCCCTGAAAGACACCACTTGTCACTGATCTCCATTCAGACCTCAAGCCATTGACCACTATTCTCTGAATAGGGATGTCCAGTGAATTCCTTATCCATTAAATTGTCCACCCATCGAGTCCATCTCTCTCCAATTTAGAGAGAAGGGTGTTGTGGGGGACCGTGTCAAAGGCCTTACAAAAGTCCAGATAAATGACATATATAGCTCTTTCCTTGTCCATTGATGGACTCTCTTCACCAAGTTGGTCAGGCAATACTTGCCCTTGGTGAAGCCACGCTGGCTGCCTTGAGCACCTCCCTGCCCTCCATGTGCCTTAACAGATTTTCTAGGAAGATATGTTCCATGATCCAGGCACAGAGATAATGGGACAGACAAGTTGATAGTTCCCAGGGCCCTTCTTTCTACCCTTTTTTAAGATGGGTACAAAATTTTCCTTTTTCCAGTTACCTGCCTACACTTTTCTAATATCATAGACAGTGGCTTGGTAATTAAATCAGCCAATTCCTGGGACTCTGGGATAGATATCACAATGTTCTATAGACTTGGGTATGTTCAGGTTCTTCAAGTAGTCCCAAGCCTGATTTTCTCTTATAGTGAGAGGGACTTTGCTCCCCCAGGCCCTGTCTTGTGGACCAAACACTCAAGAGGCGTGGAAAGAGAGGTTGCAGGAGAAGACTGAGGGAAAATTGTTGAAGTGCCTCAGCCTTCTCCTCACGCCAGCCTTACTTGCCAGGTGGAGTACATCTTCTTCAACCTTCCTTTTCTGGCTGATATACCTGTAGAAGTCCTTCTTGTTATTCTTGGCATCCTTTGCCTAGTTCAGCTCCAGCAACACCTTGACCTTCCTGGCTCTATCCATACACAACCAGACTGTGTTTCTATACTCCTTTCATGATACCTGTCCCTTCTTCCATCACCTGTGCATTTCATTTTTGCCCTTTAGTTCAGCTAGCAGGTCCCAATGCAGCCATTCAGTCTCTTGTCTTTCTCATCCAATTTCTTTCACCTGGGTTTCACTAGCTCTTCCCCCTTGGGAGATATCCTTAAAGATTTGTCAGCTCTGTTCTGCTCCCTTGTTCTTGAGGGCAGTTTCCCAGGGCATCCTATTGACCTCCTTGAAGAGCTGAAGTTTGCTCTTCTGAAATGCTGTGTCCTGGTTTTACTCTTTGCCTGACCCATATGCCTGAGGACTGTGAACTCCACCAGTGCATGATCACTGCAGCCCAGGCTGCTGCCACTTGTGACATCACCAATCAGGTCACTGAGCTGGTCACCATCAGGTCCAGTATTCCAGTGCAGACAAGGAAAGCCTGCTCTAGTTTAACCATTGAGTAAACTGGGAGTAGTCCTAGTCACTGGTCCTCAGTCCCACTGTCTTCAGTGAGACCTGAGCAAAAAATTCCTTTTAGTGTGCGCATTAGTGTACATTAAATGCTGCATAAATGACTACTCATGGAGAGGTTCTATGTTTTGTTTTTCACATATTAAAAGGTTGGGATTTAGGTGTCATTTCGCAGTGTTCAGACCACTGCTGAAGCGCAGGGATCTAATAGAAATCCTGTCCTTTGCCCTCCATTCCTCCTCTGCCATACATACAGAGAATTAGGCAAAGAATTGCCAAAATTTTCTGCTTGAACATAGAGAAGAACCTTTTCTCCTAAGTAGAGGTGGTGGTGCCCCTCATTGCATCTTGGCCCTCATCATTCTTTCAGCTCCTTTTAATCTGTATAACTTTAATATGGTTCCTTTTAAACAGGGGAGTTAGGTTCAAATAGCTCCACTGCCTAGAGATATCTGAATTCTTATTATTCTTCTCCGGGGTGTTCTTAGATCTCTTCTTTCAATCTCTGTTGAAGATGTTTTTCTATGTGTGGACTAATCAAGTAGTCAGAGTGTCAGAAGGAAGATGAGTATGAGCAAAACTCACTTGCTGAGTGGTTAGGGCCCTCACCAGGGGCAGGAACACACAAGTTCAGTTCTTTCTGCTATGAATACTTGATATAAAACACTTAAAATATTAATTGAAATGTGGATTCCAGTCTCTATTGTTCATGCATTTTATATGAAAAACTCATTAGACAAAAGCATCAGCTGTTCCTAGAGAAGCTACTGGCATGTCAGACCTGATGCTTTGCATTGTCTGCCCAAACTAGTAAGTTACTAGTTTCCCCTATTCTTCCCCCTCCATCTGACCTACTGAATCTTGAATTCTTTGCATTTCTTGTGGAGGCTTTCAGCAAGGAGTGATGAGCATATTAACATCACAGAACAGTCTTCAGCAGAATTACATGAACAGCTGCTGGTGGTCTGGGCTCTGACTGTGACCTCAGTGCCTGTCATTCATAACAGCCCCAGACACACGATGCCTCCCATAGTCCAGGGACATCCAGGGTATCTCACTGAACTCCCCAGGACTGACCTCTAAGAGCCTTCACAGTCCCTTACCATAGAGGCAATGGGCATCACCTGGCTGGCCCAGCAGAGACAAAGCCTGAAGCACTTTTCCAGTTGAGGAGGTTGGTCAAATTAGGCAGGAGATAGCATGTAAAATATTAATCGAGTAGCCTTGGCTTTTAGGCTTATTGGCAGGAAATTGAAGATGAAGATTTAAACTCCCACAGGCAGAGGATGTAAACTTGTCCCCCATCTCCCAGCTAATTAGCTCTTCCTACAGAAAAAAAAAGGAAAAACTACCACTGTTTGAACAATATCTTTGAAGAGCTTCATCCTGTAGATTCTGGGACATTCTGGGAGAATAACTGCAAAATCAATACCAGAAAAGTGAATTTCTAGAACCTGATCAGCCTTCCCTGTATGTTAAGCACAGAGCCTCTTTGCACCCTGCAGGCCTGGGGGCTGCTGAGCCTTGGCAGAGGAATAATTTCAGGTGGCTGCAATACTCAAACTCAAAACCTTAACTTCAGATGCAAGGGAGTGACAGTACTGAAGATTAAACCTCTCACTCGAATTCCAGTTTAAGCTCAGTTTGAGATATCTTCTTTTAATTCCTTTTCCCTTGCTCTTGAATTGTAGAAATGCAATTAAGAAAAAGGGTTATCACTTATGTAGTGGAGGGAAGGCAGATAAACCTGCATGCCTTCCTTAAGATGGCTTGTGATTTACCTAGCATTCCACTTTCCTCGCAGCAATATCAATGATAATAATGCTGACAGCCAAAAAATGAGGATCTTTTCTTTCTTTGTCCAATCTGTTGGTAACATCTGTTATACAAAATACCTCAAGCAAGAGGACATTTCTTAGAAAATCCAGTTTCCACTTCTGAAAATAAGCAGTATCATTCTCTTGTATATAAGCAGTATCATTCTCTGAAAGGGGGGGATGGAAGGGAAGGGAAGGAAAGGAAGGAAGGGAAGGGAAGGAGGGAAGGAGGGAGGGAAGGAAGGAAGGAAGGAAGGAAGGAAAAGGATAGAGGGATGGAGTCTTGAATACAACTCCTCTGCTGCTGCTAGATAAGGCAGCATTTTAATAGCACTGTTTGTTGTGTGTGGGTCCCTGCTTCACAAGTCTTCTGAAAAGCAATGCTTAATAGATGGAAAACTAGCTCTTAAAAGCATCTTGTATGCCACTAGCAGCTTTAGGAAGAGCATGCAGTGAAAATATTAATAAGTGTATAACTGTTGAATTCTAATAATTTTCACTTCAATTCACTGACTGATGAAGTGGCTTACATTCAATATTTCCCTCCCCAGGGAGTGATGGTTACCAAAGAGCCTTATAAGTACTTGACAGGGTCATTTAAATATGATGCATT